CAGGCAATAAAGAGTCCCACATGCAGACATAAATTACTGTAAACACTGCGAACATGTGGCTTCGAAATACAACGGGCAGAATGAGAGCCGTCCTGCTGGCCGTGGAAGCGAGCCATGGAGTGAGTATTAACCACATGAGTTCCTGCTAGGAGGGAAAGCCACTCCCAGAACTGAATTCAGTGAGTAGGAGTTTGAGATTGCACATGTATGTGTGTGTGGTGTGTGTGTGTGTGTGTGTGTGTGTGTGTGTGTGTGTGTGTGTGTGTGTGGGGGGGGGGTGTGTGGGTGTGTGTGTGTGGTGTGTGTGAGAAAAGTTGAGGCATTTTTTTGTGGAGGGGTGTGTTTGGTTGGAAGGAGGTGGGAGGGTTGTTCAGGAAGCGGACATGGTGCAAGCAAGAGTAAAGGAGAACATCCATATATGTCCAGATGCCTACGGAACAGGATGGAGTCGAACATTAGAGACACGTCTTCCAGCTCTGGGATCTCCATGGGGTGTGACAAGGGGGGGGAATTTCAAATCTTCTCCTGAGTGAGCAAACACACACACACACACACACATATACACACCCTGCTGCTCAGAATCCTACCAAACCCCGAAACTGACATAATTCTGACACGAACCCTTCAGCTTTCATTAGACGCGTCACCTGAAACCCCTTTAGCAGCTGAGGGAAATTCAGAAGTTATGGTAAAATTAATGATTTCCCCTGGAGGCCGACTGACTGGCCGGTCAGTCGGCCACTTTCAGTTTCTGCCAGGTTTGCACAATAAATAGCAGCCCAGCAACCAGCCAGCAGCACACCTGGACAAAACCAAATAAAAGGGGCCTTTGTTCAACACCTGCACCAGTGTCACTGATTTACTCTGAGCCAGTTAAACGCTGGGTACTTTCGGTAAAACACGTCTTTGTTGCTGGTTTACTCATGGTATTTCTTTAGCTCTTTTAAGATACATTTGACCTTTCGGTGCTATTGGGATGTGAAAACATATCAGTCACTTGAATAACTCTAGGGTCACTCCAACACCACAAAAAAAGAGCTATCAGCACTTGGAAACACTGACAGCACTACAAAATAACTGCACATGTACATCCAGATACTGGAGACCAGGTGACTCCCAAACTATGAATGTCTGAAAGGCGTTCAGAACAGTTAGAATGATACTGAGGCCCAGTTACAAGCTAATAGACTGCCCAATACTGACACCATGTGGTGACTTTTTAAAATGAACTGTGAGTTTATTAACGGTAGATTTTTTTTTTCTTCATTTGTATCTAACTTTAGATGCAGGGGTTTCACAAAGTGGAGCCTGGGGGCCATTTGCAGCCCCTGGACTGATTTTGTGTGGCATCTGAAATTCAATACTGGAATCAACTTATCCCCCTCATGAACAGGCTGTTGATGCAAATGGAGACTTTTTTTATTTTTAATTAAGAAAAAAATATTCTTAAAGTATTTAAATTGTCATGTATTGGAATTTTTTAGGTACAAAACATATTTGTCTATTGATATCTACACATTTTTCATACTCTTTAATTTTATAGTAGACAAAACAACATCTAACCAATGACTTTTAGTCTGATTGCAGAGAATAAAGTAAATTTTTCTTCTATAAACCCTAGAAGAAATTATAAGTCAATTAAGTTCAAGCTCCTGCTGTCTGGATGTCCTACCCACACATTTCTTTAAGAAAGTCCTGCCTGTTATTGCTACTGATCTGATCCAAATAGTAAACTCATCACTCACATCAGGGGTTTTCCCCCAGGCTTTGAAAACAGCAGTCATCAAACCACAGTTAAAAAAGAACAACCTGAACTAATCACTAATGCAGAATTACAGGCCGACCTCTGACCTCTGACCTCCCATTCATCAGCAAAGTCATTGAAAAAACTGTGTGTAAACAATTAAATAGTTTCCTCATGATGAGCAACTGCTTTGACTCTTTCCAGTCTGGTTTTTCGTGCTCACCACAGCACGGAGACTGGCCTAGTCAAAGTATTCAATGATATCCATATAAATACGGACTGTGGGAGAACCACGGTGCTGGTTCTGTTGGACCTCAGTGCAGCTTTTGACACTGTCGACCACGACATATTATTGAATCGACTGGAGAGTTGGGTTGGACTCTCCGGTTCGGTGCTCGACTGGTTTGAATCTGACATAAAGAACATTGATTTCTTTGTTTCAATTGGAAACTTTTCATCAAAGAGGTCAAAGGTCACATGTGGGGTACCCCAAGGTTCAATCTTAGGACCCCTCTTATTTAATATTTATATTCTCCCACTAGCTCAGGTTATAAAAGGAAATAATATTAGCTACCATAACTATGCAGATGACACACAGCTCTACATTACGATATCACCAGGTGACTCTGAACCCATCCAGTCACTGAATAAATGTTTAGAACAGATAAATGTGTGGATGTGCCAAAACTTTCTCCAGCTGAACAAAAACAAAACTGAAGTCATTATTTTTGGACCTAAAGAGGAACGATCTAAAGTCAATGCACTGCTTCAGTTATTTCAACTAAAAACTAGCGATCAGGCCCGAAACCAGGGAGTAGTGATGGACTCGGACTTGAACCTTGCGAGCCACATAAAGACAATTACAAAGTCGGCCTTCTATCACCTGAAGAACATCTCCAGGATTAGAGGACTAATGTCTCAGCCAGATCTAGAGAAACTCATCCATGTGTTTATCTTTAGTCGCATTGATTATTGCAACAGCGTCTTCACAGGCCTGTCCAACAAATCAATCAAACAGCTGCAGCTGATCCAGAAGCTGCTGCTCGCGTTCTCACTAAAACAAGGAAGATAGAGGCATAGTACCAGTTTTAAAGTCCCTCCACTGGCTCCCTGTAGCTCAAAGAATAGATTTTAAAATACTGTTGTTAGTTTACAAATTACTGAACGGTTTAGCACCACAATACATCAAAGATCTGCTGTTGTTGTATCAACCTTCCAGACTCTCAGGTCTTCTGGTTCTGGTCTGCTTTGCATCCCCAGAACCAGAACCAAGAGAGGAGAAGCAGCTTTCAGCATCTATGCACCAAAAATTTGGAACAAACTTCCAGAAAACTGTAAAACAGTGGAAACCCTGACTTCCTTTAAATCTCAACTAAAAACACACCTGTTTAGAATTGTATTTAAAATGTAATATGTAACAATGTATTGTTTATTCCATGATGCATGACTTTGTGTTCTTGTGTTTATGATGTAAAGCACTTTGAAATGCCTTGCTGCTGAAATGTGCTCTACAAATAAAATTAGATTGATTGATTGATACATTTTTCAAAAATAATTGCCCATTCGACACTTCTATCTCAATGAGAAATGTTTTCAGTTATATGCAAACATTAAAAAGGACTTTACAGTTTACATCAATCAGTAGGTAATCAGATATAAAGTGTAAAGCACCATTTGACAGAAGAAGAGCTGGGATTGAACCAATAACTACTGTACCAATCAGGCTTTGGATCCAAAATGAGCCACATGAAATCAGGGAGAATGAAGGAATCCTGGATTTACAAAGTGGGGGAAGGAACATAAGGCCATTCACCGATCTTTGACCTGCCAATTCTGATTTTTATGGATACTGATATACATTTGAAAGGTTGTTATGTTGGCAACATTTGGGTGATTATCTGTGCTAATTTATTGGTGCACCCTCGGTTTTCCTATGCAGATGATATCTGAGTTGTCGTACCAAACCATGACACATCCCTGCCTCACTTGATGGAGATTATTGAGTCAAATTTGAAAAGTATTAGGCTGCACACACCTAAAGACAGAAAGTATTTAGGAATCCATCTTAGCCAAAATTTGGAAGAAATTGCTAATTCTATATTTTAGACCAGTCTTACAAAAAAATTAAACAAAAGTGGGACAAAATGTAATTTACTCTATTAAGGGAGATTGATGTTATTAAAGCAATAGGGCACCTAAATGTAACTATTTCTTGATCATTCTGCCAATTATAATCACCCCCATAATCTTTAAACAACATTTTATATAACTGTTTTTTTGGCCAGGGGGACAAAAAGCAAAAATCAAACTGAGTAAACTTTAGTCCACTAAGAAGAAATGAGGACTCAGCTCATCATATCTGAGGTGGTGTAGATTATCTCCAATCACTAAACTGGCTAAAATAGTGGAAATGTTCCAATAAAAGGTCAGAATTGTTGGATATTGTGACAGTGAATTATGTTTACCAGTTAGTTCTAAGGAGAAATTGTCTGAAAGGGATGACACCACCAATCCAATCCAGCCCTCATGCACCAAAGTACATCAAATTATCACACCATCCAAAGAAGTACGCCCCCCTGTGGTTGCTCTCTGCCATTTGCGCTGACTAGTTGGAAGAATGGAAATCAAATGGTTTATCTACCATAGGACCATAGCTTGGTGTGGCTATTAAAATTAATCAATGCTAACTAGCTTTTGGCATTGACCTCTTTTACTCGCAACCAAATTTGGTGTGTCAGTTCAGAAGCACATCTTATGTTGTGAGATCCACTGTAGAATTAGAGAATTAAAGATGGCTGACAATATATATTTAGGTTATTTTTATTCCATTCATTACCTTTTGCTTATCAGAGATTGGATTGGTAAGGTAATATGTCCAAGAGGGAAATCTGGACATCCTGCTCCCCCAGTTTCACACATATCCTCCATAGTTTGGCTAAGTTGGATTCCCGAATACTTTATGTCTTTACCAAATTTTCATGGCACACTGACGTCACTGGCATGGCTTCAGATTTGTTCCAGCTGATTCTGTAGCCTGAGACTTTTAAATTAGAACTGTAAACTTCACCGCGCTCTCAAGAGGGCAGCAGATTATAGACGGTCTTCAAAGTCTGACCTGGTATTTGAAATAAGATGTGCTTCTGGACCTGCTTAATTATAGATAATGTGTGTTTGCAACCGGAGCAGCCTCACAAATATACAAAAAGCCCAAGATGCCTGGCTTCCCCAGAGCCTGCAGGCAAAGACACTTACTTACCTTTAAGGAAGCAGTTTGGATGGAGCATGAACCAAAAATGTTCCTGAGCAATTGGTCAGCAAACATCTGTGGATAAAAAAAAAACAACAAAAAAGGTTAACAACCTCATCCTGCTAGGTAAATTGTGAGACAAGAGAAGCAGAGAACAGAAGCAAACAGTCCAGCAGAGGGTAAACAAGGCCTTTAGTACATGAGGTGACACTATTTACTTCATCGCCATCTGTCACCCACTGAAAACTGCAGTGGGTGGGAAGAAATCTGCTCTGTGCTCCACTTTCTTCTATTTCTCCATTCCAGCAAAACCAGTTAGTCAGTCCTGTGGTCAGAGAACTGTCTGTGTGCTGAGTGGAGGCAGCAAACATGTGAACTAAAAGGTCTAACCCTAAAATTTAACTGACACAATTATATTTAAAAAAAAAAAACTTCTAACATATATTTCTATATCTAAACCCTTAATGTGAAATAAAGAGTACAAATTTTTTTTTAACTTTCTAATGACCCTATTATCTTTTCTTCGTCTGCATAAGATTAGCTTTAAAGAAATAACTCTGAGCAACAGAGCAGTCTGAGAGTTTATCACAGGATCAGGTTCTTTCTCAGCTTCTCACACGACGTCACATTATCTGACTCCAGCAATGTTTACAAAGCAGGTAAATATCAAGGTACAATTGTAAAATGTAATTTGTAATAAATTTCATCAAAGCCACTTAATACAGATTTAATTTATTTAGTGTTTTTATTATTATTATTATTTAATGCACATGAACAGCAGCAGAGCGTTTACTCCATGTATATTTAAAACTTTAAGTTGCCATTTACATGCCATATGCCTTCTATATAATCACAAAGAACACATAAAAAATGTAATAATGTTTAGAATTGTGACAATGGTTTATGCTGTGGTACCTGCTGCCTCTTGTCCTTGCTAAGCGACAGCTCCTTTCCTCCTCTGGTTTAATATTTACCTCAGTAACAGCAGAGAGTTGAGAGTTTATGGCTGCGGGCAACACATTTAACACCACACAGCCACCATTTATCTCCAGCTAACACTCTCTGGGGAAATCCAGATAACACCATTTCAGTTTCTGTACATACAACAAACATATTTTTCACATCTCAAAACCTTTACAAGATGCATTCAATTAATATTCACATAGTTTGATTCAAGTTCAGTCGTTGTCTCACAATCTTTTCAAATTCACCTCAGAATGATAACTGGAAGAAAGAAGCCTATCAAAGAAAGTATTTGAATCATTGCAGCAATTATTTGTCCTGAGCAAGCATGGGGACACAGTGGACAGGAACAACTCCAGTCCTTCATCAAGGAGAGAAACAGATAAACAAGTAATACAAACTCTGGGATGAAAAGGAGAGTATAAACATAGTAGCAGTAGTAGGTTCATCAATAGCAGCAGAAGTGCTGCAACATGCTGAGATCTGGATGAACTGGACGTCACATTATGAGGGACTACAGCAGGTGCTACAGGTCTGATGGTTATAGTTGTTGACAAAGTTACAATTAAAGCAGCAACAGTCCAAAGCGTCCTGCATAAGCAGGAGAGGAACGTTGATGTCACACAGCAGCGCTCTGATTACAGAGGTAAAAATAGAAGCTCTCATTAGCTTTTAAATAAAATAATTATTTAAAATGATTTATTATTTCTTTTAAATAAAGAAATCATTTAAAAGCTAAGACGAGCCGACAGCATCGTCCCAATATTAAGTTGAAGGAAGCCAAAAAAAAAACACACAAGTAATAGTCTTCTGGGAACATGAACTGCAACGCAGAGACACACAGGTGGAAGCAGGAGTGGTGGGGTTGCAATGTGTAATGATAACTGTTATTATTTTCAGTCGCTTTAATGAACAGATTTCCTGCATCTGGCAAACGTTGGTACAGAAATGTGACACGTTTCATATTAATGACGTAAAAGTCAGATTACATGCAACATTCAGACTGCAGGCGCTTTGACAACTATCAGACATGTATCCAGTTTAGTGCAACATATGGAAGTGATACAGAGCAGATTTTCTTTCTAAGCATGTGGAGAAGTTAAAATTTAAATTGAGCCGCCCCATCCTATTTATTCTTGAAAAAATAGGATGGGGCAAAAAAATTGCATTTGGGACACATTTGCCACGGTGGCCTTTGTGACTCTGAACCAAGCACAACTAAACTGTTTTCATATGATATTCCTGTTCCTCTGCATGCAATGGCATTAAATCTGCCTTTTTTTTAAGCTGACTAAACAAACTTAGCTTAATAACAAGTCATAGAGCAGCTAAATGAAAGATCTCTGAGTCATGGAATATGTCAAAGAAAGAACATGTGAAGATAATTTACAGTAACAGCTTCACCAAGAGATGTTCCACAGACGCTATAAATATCCTGCAAATACTACTGTATGTGACAACTCCCACAATGCCACTGAACACAGACAGGTCATGAGTCAAACGATGACCAGGCTACTGTCACAAACCTGCTGCTGGGAAGAAACCCTCAAACTATCAGCGTCTCATGCTACAAATTAAACAAAGCAATAATATCAATGGTACCTGAAAGGTAAAACCCAATTTGTCCCACATTCATTGTGAATGTAAATTATTTGTCATTTTACATTTTTTTTTAATGACAGCAGAAGTAAAGTGAAATGATGGGCGGAGCCTCAGCAGGCCAATAAGCTGTCACTTCTGTTCTTGCTGGGCTTTTAGCGTTTGCAGCTCAAGCTTCGCTGAATTACATATTCACATTTGTCATTTTCTCATGCCTTGCAGGCATGAGAAAATGGGAGTGTGTGAAACCTACTTTCATCTGTGATCCTTCTATGACGCCATGGCAACACTCAGATAAGAGTGAAAGGACTTTTTAATTATCATCATCATCATTACCATCAAAATAAAAATCTTAGGTATGAGAGAATTGAGGCACCCAGCTGCTCCTTCTGCATGTGTGCTCAGAGCTCCTGCAGGACACGCCATGCAGGGTTTGGCTATTGAGAGCCTGTCAATGTGACAATCATTCTGTGAATTTAAAGTGATTTCAAACCTGTTTTGGAGTATAAATACTGTACAAAAAATAGCAATCATAAGTTGTGTCTTGTCCTCATGAAGAATTCAGACCAAAGCATTGCAGTTCCACTTCACACAGGACACAACTGAATGGTTTAAATGTGAAAAGGCAGGATTTCACAACATGATATATGTTCACTTTGAAATGCATATCAAGTACAAAGAAAGTTTTCAGTGGCTTTCCTTATTGCTGTTAAATTGTAATCACTGAAAAGAACTGGGATGAAAGGCAGCATTTGTCTGATTTCACAGCTTTTTGAATCGCATTCTGGATTCTGTTGCTGCTGTCACATTTTGCTCAACACAAATTGGTGAAGCTGCAAGTTGCATTAGCAAAAAATACATTTCAAAAATTGACCAGAAATATCATGATATAGAACCCGTTTTTCACTTCCTAGTTTCATCATGTTTCCAACGCAGTGATACTTTTCCAACAGCAGCCATTCATTTGCATGAGCAGCCTGGATCAGGAGCCCACAGTAGAAACACAACACAACAAATTGCTGCAGTGAAAAAGAACTTTCTGGAAAATTAATTTTCAAGGGAAAAACATTTTGGAATAAAAAAGATGAAACACCAAAAACCTTGTGAATTACTGGGTCAAGACTGGAAAGGCCTTGATTTTAGACAGTAGTGTCCAAACCCAGGAAGTTCAGAATTGTCCAATCTCCAGGAACAATTGATTTTGTCAAATAAAACTTTACAAATAACGACATTGTGCCTTTTTCAACTAGATTGTATTTTTCAAAAAACTAAGCACAAAGGATTTCGTTAAGATTTTTTTTTTTTTTTAATGGATCTTTAAATCAATGTAGATCCCAAACATAAAAAAGGTCTGGCCTGACTGTGTTATAGAACTACAGTCCCTAAAAAATGTTTCAAGTGACTGTTTTCCTTTTTGGGGAAGAATATTTCTATTTTAGCCTCCAGCTAAGGGGGTCAAGCCTGAGTGAAAGTTTTTTGGTTCCTTATAATACAAATTTCAGATGAATGCAATAAATGAGAAAAAATTTGAGTTGTACATAATATTATTTTATTTTAATGTTGATTTCTCCAATCTAAATTTGCAATCAGAAGGCCTCAGAAAATCATTCAGTGGACCACAAATGGTCCCTGAGCCGCACTTTAGACACAATTGATTCAAGAAGATCTTAGACTTGGAAAAAAACGTCAGTTCAAGATTTTTTTCAAAATACTTAATAATTATAATGTATATGTTTTACTTGACTGAAATCTAATAAAAAAAAGACTGGTACCATAGTTGCACGGTACACAACAGAGTTTCAGTAGAAATATGAAAGGATCAGTGAAGCAAAGAGAACAGAGCCCACTGTGAACGCTCTCCTCGCTAGTAGCTAAGCAGTTCTGCACTCACCAGCCGTCTCACATATAACACATTCTCTTCACAGAGAGGTTGCAACACCTCCATCCCTACCACATAAGTTATTGAGGAGATTCACACGCGCATCAAGGGGAGGGGAGGGGAGCGGTTTCTTTGTTGTTGCTTTCTTCTTTATTTTTTTGATAATACTCTGGACCTGCAGAGGTGGAGAAGCTGACTAGAAACATTCTCTGAAGGTCTTTGTGACCAGAGCAGTGACGCACGGAGGAGCTCCCCAGAGGCCGAGCGAGGAATTTGAGTCGAGGGACAGACAGAAAGGGGAGGAGGGAAGGGAGGGGGGTCTGGTGGGTGAGTTAAACCATGCTAAGGTCTGCACCAGTGGTAACCCTGGCAACATGGACGAATCCACTTCAACACCATCAGCCCAGACAAGCGAAGTCGCATCAGACAGTCAGAGAACAGATACCTGGTGACAAACATCAGACCCAAACTTAAGAGAATTCTCAGTCACACACACACACACACACACACACACACACACACACACAACACACACACACACACACAAACACCTCTGCTCGTTTACAGAAAACACATTCATCCAGTAATCCTGCTGACCAACAGCCCCTCCCACTTAACTCGGTCTCAGTGTGTCACGCTCTAAACAACCCTCCCTTTTGTTGTTTGCAGTAAACATCAGAGCTGCTTGTCAGGGGGAAACAGGATTCCACTCTGACACGATGCTGTGGGAACGGCTGGAGATTCTGCTGGGAAACAAACTGATAACGTAATACCTGTGGAGTCTGGCAGTCAGCAAGCAGGCCTACGCGCTGCAAAGTTTGCTCATGGCCGCGCATTCTTGGGCCATGTTTGTGTTGCCAGGGCGGCAGGCAGGGTGGGGCGATATGGGCTGGAAGTTTTATCACAATATTTTGGGGTAAAAAAATAAAAGTGACAATAAGAACTTTTCTTTTTCAGGTAACTTTGACTGCATCATGGTCCCACAAACACAAGTAGTGTTTGTGGAAAACATTCAAAATTGTAACAAGCTTCTTTAGAATTGATTTTGAACCATAATAAATAAAAGATTACTGAATATTGTGATGTGTAACGATGGCTTAAATGACAAAATGTAATGTTTCAATTGTTCACTGTGTGTTTCTGACTTTGAATTTTTATGGTTTCACAATGTAAGGCACTTATTGCTGCAATGTGCTATACAAAAAAACTTGATTGATTAGTTGATTGTGTGATTTGTATCCCTAAACTGCACAAAGGCCATTCTAATGTGTTTTTTTTCCAGTCTGATCTTCTTCAATCAGTTCATTGAATCTGTGTTTAGAAGAAGAGAGGAGGCACAAAAACTGGTGCAAAATTCTCCCATCTGTTGGATGTTATAGCCCAGCATGGATTTAAAATTATTTTTTTGCTTCTGTTGCAAAAAAAAAAAGGTTCACTACAGGACTGTCTTCCCTACTGTTATTATGATGCCATGTTTCCTGAAGTTTCTAGATTTATCTTGTCATTTGAGCACTTTGTAGAGCCACTGATAGTCCAAAGTGAATGTCACTGAATAGTGAAGGCAAAACAATCGGGAGGAAGAATGGGCTTTAACAGGTCAATATTTCAGAGCCTTTTCAGCTCGATACACTAAACTGAACTGCAACAGTCACTGCATTTCTTCTTAAATATCTTATTGGTATTTGGAGCAACAGCACAAAACGCGCCTCTTTGGCTCTAACTTCCTGTTATTCCATAGCTTGTTAATCCATAGAAAACCCTCCGTTTACTCCCAAGGCACCGTCCTGCCTCTTATTAACAGAATTAATAAGGAATGTCTTAATTAAAAAACAAACATTATTGTTCTTTGTGCTGCTGATGCTCACCTGTGGTCAGTTTTGATGCGAAATGTAGGGATTTTTAAATTCCAACCATGAAATGGTCCCAGGTGGTCTCCTTCCCGTCCGCCTGAAAACTTTCCCTGTGATGAAAAACATTCAGTGTTTTTCATCACAGGGAAGCAAAGCAGACAGACGGTGAGCGCAGGCGGGCTGGGCTGCACGCTGTCCGGAGCACAACACCGCCCCCTGCTGGCAGCTCCGTCCAAACAGGATCAAAGCTTAGAAAGTGGAGGCAGGTCATTTATCATTCCATTGATGATTATGGGCATCTTCTCTTCATTGTTCCTATGAAATATAATGATTTCATAGATTACACTGATTTTCCCAGGATCTTTTTTCGCTTTTTGTAACACGGACTCTGAAGTAATGCATCACCATTTTTTATTTGTTTCATAAACATCACTAATGTAACATATTTCTGTATATAAGCTGATTCTGCATAGACTGTTTTCCAATTTTTAATCCTGGTAATTATAATTTTCAGCCAACAGCTAACATTAATCACTGATTCATTCAATTTTAGAATATAGATCAGATCAATAAAAGTTTTAACACAGAAATTCATCTTCAATGAAAAATATGGAATATTTTTCTTAAATGTTTCCAAAGTTTTTTTTTAATGTAGAAAAATGAGCCTCATAGGACTGAATATTCTAATTATCACATGACTGAAAACAGGATTTTTTTTTCATAGCTTTCTTTCTATAATTACCATAGTTACCATAGGCCTTTGTTCCTTGATCTTCAAGATTATGTTTAAAAATTTTGTAAAAAGAAATCTTTATTATCTTTACTGTTCATAAATTACAACAGTGCTTCACTTCCTTTCATAAAGTTTGTTACAATAATGTAGACTTCTGGGAAACAGAAAAAAAAACAACCTGTATTCTGAGAATTAAGTACAGAAAAGGATTAGGGCCAGTGAAAAAAAAAACATTATTTTTAATTGGCTTTAATCCTTTTCTGTACATTGAGTGGGAACAACAAACACAGCAGGAACAAAACACATATTTTAACAACCTGATGTCTTACTTCTGCTTAAATGAACAGCCGGTCTTTTGACATGGGGGCCAGCAGGGGGACAACATTGTCTCCCATTATTTGGTTCTCAAATCAGATTTGCCACATCTGTCATTAAAGGAAAGAGAGGACAGCAGTGTGTAAAAAAAAGAAGAAAAAAATTATGTCTTTATTGCTGAAAGAATACAACTTTGTAATAAACTCAACATTGTTTTCTCGTCTTTACGATTAGAATTGACCAAATGCTAGATACTGCAAGAGAAGTAACAAAATTCAGCCTGGATATGAAAGCATCTTACAAAGTTAGACGTTAATATTCCTCAACATCGTTTACACTGATCTGGAGTCAGCAAAGGGAATCCCAGTCGCGCCTACACCTTTAAAAACAAACTCTGGGCTTCTTAGACTGTCTATCTTTGGTTCTAGGAGACAAAAATATTCTCTCAAAGTTGTTGCTAATTAGCAATACTGTGGTGGTTCAAGGAAGAACAAAAATGACACCAAATATTCAAGAGAAAAAGGGAGCTAAAAATTAAACAAAACTTCCATTTATTTCTTTACATAACAGAATAAATTTATATTCACAACCCCTCAAACAATCCGCTGTTGAGCAAATGAGGGGGGGAAAAAAAATCCTTGTTGGAAAAAAAATGACCATCAAATATTTAAGAGGAAGAAGATGCTGGAATCATTCACAAGTAGTTTACCTAAACCACCAAATGTCAGAGTCACATGTTATCTGTGCAGCACCAGAGGGCGCCAAACTAACCACGGAGAGACCCCCAGCAGTGTGTGTATTCAGCATGTTCAGAACACATTCACAAACCTACAAAACAGAAAATTAATGGTTGTTTAAACAGAAGCAACTAAAACCGGGAGGGGCGAGTATGAAGTCATTTCATAAACATTAACAGTTCTTTCTATTGGATTTTAGGTACTGGAGAGGGGGTCTGCCATTTAATCCCCCTTCATCTGTTCCTGTTCGTTCCCAATGTGAGTTTTCCAGTGCTCAAAGAAGTCCTGCGTCTCTGTCGACGACCACTCTGGGAGCCGTGTGTGTCCTCCACGCCATCCCGGGACAGAACCTGGACAGGTCGAAAAGCGACCTGGGATCACATGTCGTCCTCATCGTCTTCGTCCTGGGACGAGCTGGCCTGCTGGGCCACGCTGGCAGACGCTGCAGCCATCTGCGCCTGCTGAGCGGCCTGCTGCATCTGCAACCACTCCTGCTGGGCCAGCTCCGCCTGCTGCTGCCGAGCCTGCAGGGGGCGACACGGGGACAGAGTTCATCTAAAGGCAGGAAAACCACTTCACAATTCAGTTAAAAAATGAATTTATCCCAAAGTGGAAATGAAATGTCATAACTCAGATCATGCAAGCTTCTTCAAAATGCTGTCTGAGTGTCTATGGTGTGAGCAGGAAGGATCACCAGGAGCAGTCAGTCTCACAACAAATCCAAAGAGGCCTCTGACTAAAGACTGTTGCTGTATTTCTCATGACTATCATGACATGCTAACTGATCCATTTCTGAGTGGTATTACGCAATAGGGCTGTTGTAGCTGATTATTTTGGTAATATATTCACAATTCTTATCAGTAACTGAATAGCTACATAAGCGAGTAAAAGAAATATATGAAAGAGAAATGCTTGTAAAAGACAATTCAGGTTTTTTTTCCCCTTCTTTCTGCTCTTCGATCGGCTCCTCCATAGCTGCTACTAGCGCTTAGCATTTGTCAACAGCTCATTGGCTGAAGTGAGAGTGTTTCTAAACATACAATAGCCATCCGGCTTGAACACTGCGCACTGAACAGCAACAGTTCACTGAAGGCTCAAAGAAGAAAATTTACCTCGTGAAATGTTAATAATTTTAATAATCTACGTCCTCAGATAATTCCATGACTTCTTACAGCCCGATTCCATTGCAGAATTTTCCTGCTCAGCAGATCAAATTTAGATTTTTTTTTTCTGTTCATTTTAATGAAGAGAGAAATGTGTGTTTTAACACACACAAATGAGGACATTTTGCCATTTTTTGCCATTTTTGCCATGTCAACAAAAACAGCAACAACACATGCTCAGTGAGCATGTGTTGTTGCTCACTGAAGGAGAAGCTGCCATGTTCCTGCAAAACATAACTTTTAAGCTGTAGAGGTGTGCTTTGTTGCATATAAGCAGACAACTTTGTAATTCCTTCATTTTCTTTAGGTTTCGAAATCTCAAATAACTTGCATCACACTTTTTCTTTAAGATCTTACAGTCCTTTAAGGACAAAACAAAACATCCGACTTGGTCAAAACTGAAAGTGGTAGGAGAGAAAACCAGAAAGACACAGCAGGAGAGGAGGAACGCTGCTAAAGCAAGGTTACATTCACACAGCAGGTCTTTAAGAAGAAACCTAGCTGTCACACAGCAATGCTGTTTTTAATGGAAGCAAAAATGGACGTCACCATCTATGGATCAATTTTAAAACTATTCAGCAATGAAAGCCGAAAATATTGTCAAAAATTGTAACATGAAGGAAGCTGATGAAAAGAAAACACAGCTAATAGCAACAGCCTTGATGCAGCTTCAGTAGAGAAATCAGTTTGGGTGTGTGGTCAGAAATACGAAAGGTGGGATTCAGATGTGTTGCACTTCACTGGCAGACCTCTTTTGTAATTCCAGAACTATAATTTTGAGCCACTGATTACCTCCAGATTTACAGCAGGTGGTTTCTTCTGATGCAGAACTATGATGACATATCTCATGTAAATGATGTAAGAACCTGATTAAAAGTGTCATGACCTGTCAGACTATGAAATCAATCAGATAAGGATCCCAATTAATAGCTTCACAGGGAAGGTGATCTTTTCAACTTTTTTTTTTTGAAAGGTGAAAAAATCAGAATTGGGCCATTCAGACTGCTGTGAAAAAGCTGGATAAGAGATGATACGGATTATCAAAATTGTTTTTTAAAAAGTATGATTCGTGCCGCATTCGCCTGCTGTGTGAATAAGTATGTATCTGAGCAAATCTGACTGTCTGTCTTTTGGAACCCGTGCTTTTATCAGAACATGGCTGTGTGAGGGATAGACAAAAGGGAAACAGGTGGCATCTTCAAAATAAATTTAAAAAATGGCTATCACAGGATTAAAACATAATATCTACATGCTCTATGAATACCATCACTTCCTGACTGTGATGCAAACTGAGGCTTCTCCATCCTGGCTCATTGTTAAACAGGACGATCATCCTGCTGTCAACAACCCACACCACCAGCAAGTGTGACACGCTTCTTTTTTTTACCTTTGCAAATAACTCCTGCTGCTGCCTCAGCAGCTCTTCCTCTGGGATGCCCAGGTTCTCCAGTCGGGAGCTGGCCTTCCTCCTCTTCAGAGCCACAGTTTTGCACTCCTGTAGGACGTCTTTCACCTCCGTTATGTACGATGCGAAACCGAGGCTCTCTAGTGCTGCGGTGCGAAAACGAGAGGAGAAAGTGCAGCGATTACTTTCTGTGGTTTCATCCCCGAACAGCGTGTTCCACGCCCCCTCACAGACGCTAATCCCTAATGCGTGAATCTAGGAGGACTCTCACCGTTGATGACATGTTCTGGAGAGATGGTCTTCTTGTCTGACTTGTTGCATATTTCGTTAGCTTCGGACGAGATGAGGTGGATGAACTCCGTGCAGCAGTTCACCACCAGCTCGCGAGCGTCGTTGGCCACTCTTACGTTAGGAAGAGTCTCTTTGATCATCTTGTTGATTGCCGCTCTGGGGATCGTGAGGTCGTCGTCGTTGCCAGAGGAGGAAGCCATCGTGACCCGGATATTTGTTTTCCTCCCAAATATGAAAGAAAAAAAAGTAGCAAAAATAAACTCCTTTTCTTGACAGCGCGGGATAGGTTTTGCCCAACTAATTTCCCTCTTGAGTCAAATGAAGCCGAACAGGTTGACTGAACGTCAGTACGAACACAAACGTCATGAAAAAGCGAGACGTTTCCTCCAAGTTAGCTATCCAAACACACGACCCTCGCCTGCTTTGCGCTTTAAAACAGTGGACCGGTTCTGTTAACTTGCATGAAATAAAACAATGATCTATTAAGCGACACCCCCCCGACATACACAACGAAACGACAGCACTACAGGAAAAAAGCTTAACTAGCCAGCTACTAGGCTAGCTAGCAGCGGTGGTCCCAGCGCGGAACAGAAATGAAAGCGGCAAACAGCATGGCTAAAGCTAGGCTAACAATGAGCTCCGAGCGGAGGCGGCTTTGTAAGCAGCCCTTACGAGAATGACGACAGGAACAAATTCCTCACAACACACCAAGTTGCTTTGCATCATCAAAATAACCGAGCAATGTAAATAGGATTAAAGGTTCTAAACATTTATTTTGGATAGTGTATTCTGGGTAACATTTGCCTAATTTTGTCCGGATACAACGTCAAATACAGAAGCGGAAGTACAGCGTTCCTGTCATGGTTTGTGAAGTTGGATAGCTATTGCATACTGCCACCTTCCGGGCAAAAGGAAGATAACATATATTTTTATTTACAGTTATTTACTACTTTGATGCATGACAGAGAAGCTCCAATATAATATGGAAGAAATTCATTTCAATATTATGTATGATGGTTATACATGTAGTGACATTTTTTAAAAGAAATTCAATATAAATTCGTGTGCGTTTTGTGACTCAAATATAAGACATTTCTCATAAATGTCATGAATTTTTGAATTTTTGGAAGGATTTCCAAGACTGTCTGTAAAAAAATATGACTATAATTAAGTTTAATCAACTTAAACATGGTGTTTAATTAATTCAATTTCCGTTGTGCTTTCTTGTACAATGTCAATAACGAAATTCTAATTATAAACCTGAATTGTTGCGAAATATAAGATGCTTCATATGACCGAAATGCACAATAATCAGCTTTTTTAGCAGAATTTAAGTGACACTTGAACATATCAAGTGTCGCTTAAATTCAAGTATATAGTCTTGGTTAAACATAAAATCTTCTCTCAGGAAACTGCTTTTCAAAATATACATGATCTTGGTTGAGAAAAATCAGGTGCAGTTACGCGAGGTGAACAGAGGGTGGCAGTGAATGCGAAGAAACGCCATAATCTACTGACGTGGTCTCCGTGCAAAGTACACAATCTACACAAATGATTTCTGTAAATTAGAATTTCATTAAGAAGTGCATTTATTTCAGTAATTCATTTGAATTTGTATCTTAGATCCACTACAGTGCTTGTTTCTGTTCTGATGTTTAAATGTTCTGATATTTAATGACCTACAAAATTGTTGAGAAGACCAGCAATCAACATCTTGCCATGGCAAAGTTACAAAAACTAATGGCTAAAGCAGATGGCTACTCACAGACAGCTGTGTCCGAAAATATGAATGGAAAGTTAAGTAGAAGGAAAAGTCGCAGTAGAATGTAGGATGCACAAGCAACAGGAATAATCAGCTGAAGCAAAGATTATTCAAGAATTTGGGGGAGATTCACAAGACATCAGCTGTGATTGGAGTCAGAGCTTCAAGAGCTATTCAGAGCTTTATTATTATGAAATTAATAATAAAGCCCATCCATTTACTAAAAAATTAGCAGAACGAAAATGTTCTACTGGATTCATATCAATAAAGATTATCTCTATCAAACACAGTATTTCTGTGTAACAGCTCTGTTTAGACCTTGAAATATTTTCACTCACTGGCATAAAGATCACTGTAAAACCAATTGAATTGAACATGACTGTGTCTCAAAGATCCTGTAAATAGTTAGGCCAGCATACTGCTCAGTGATTCTTCTATATTATAGTCTGTATATTGTATTCCCTAGTGCAGAAAACTCCAGAGTCATACATTTTCAGAAATTGATTTATTGCTTTCAAATTTATGATATTTTAGTTGACTGTTCCATTTGAAATGTCGGTTGATTGCAGCAGAAATAAAGCTAAACCTGTGGACAGCTTTGGTTGGTTATATTTCTCACACATGTATACACACGCACACACACACAGAAAGAGATCTGACGTGTCGTTACTAATCCTCTCAGGTACTCTTATCTTTTTCCATGCTAAAACTCTTGCGACTCCTCCAGCGCAGCAGCTTGAGGAAGTTCAGGCTGGCGTTGAAGACTTTGTCGTGTTCAAACACCATTTTGTAAAACGTTTCGATGGGGAGGTCTCCGTTGGGATCGGCATATTTCAGTGTGGTCATGGGTGTGTAGAGAGTGTTTGTCTGATGGCGGAAAGGAGGATTGTCCATAGTGATGATCCTGTGGGTGTGCTGGAAACAAAACACACACAGCAGGCAGTAAGAACTTTTAATTTGCAGAAGCATTCACTCCTTCAATCTTGTTTACACATTGTCACACTACAACCTCAAATGACAATGTGTTTTATTGGGTTTTTATGTGACAAACCAGCACAGAATGGTGCATAGTTAGGAAGTGGAAGGAAAGAATATGTGATTTTGAAATTGCTTTCTAAGTTTGAAGTTGAGAGTTTGTATTAAATATGATGAGTTAGACAGTGGGTCAAAATGTAAGACCAGAACCATTTTTAGCAATTTTGTTATGAAAACGCACATAGAGCCTTGCAGCAAGAAGGTCCTGGGTTGGATTCCCGGGCCGGGATCTTTCTGCACAGAGTTTGCATGTTCTCTCTGTGCATGCGTGGGTTCTCTCTTGGTACTCTGGCTTCCTCCCACAGTCCAAAAACATGACTGTTAGGTTAATTGGGCTCTCCAAATTCAGAAATAAATACTAGTCAAGTGAAACAAATCCAAAAGAGAATGAGGATAACTGAACTGTACCAAGAAATAGAATCAAACAATAAAGAAGTGCTCAAAACTGAAAATAACTGAAAAAAGTCCAAAATGGATCATAAGACTTTGAGCTGCAGGTGTTTGAATGTCTTAACCAAAAAATGGCATTTTTCTCATCTTTTCTTGAAAAATATCTTGATTTTAGACAGACTAGATAGTATTTCCTAACATTCATTTTTATGTCTCTTGGTAAGTTTTGTGACATAATCTTTCTTTTATGAGTGATGGTTTGAAAAGTGCTCAGTAAACACAAATACACACTACATGTTTGTGGTACATATTAAAAAATAATAATAATAAATCAAAGCTGGAAGCCTTCCATCCTTTTGTCTCTAATTCATAATTATGCACTACTTTCTGGAGTATTACCTCAGATTTCTGTGAAAGCCATTAAATTTTGTTATTGTAACAAAATGCGGAGAAAGTCATAGGGTGTGAAGACTTCTGCAAGGCACTGTAACTTTACAGACTACAAACAGCCTTGTAAGGTGAAACAAGTAGGGTGCACAGATATCTGTGATTGATACATGATTGATCAATGTTATCCACAGTTCTTATCTTCATCCCCAAAGGTCTGAAAATCCACCAGTTTCCTCTTTGACAATAGTCACCCCACTGATGCCAACTTTGCAACTTTGTAGCAAATAAAAAAAAAATGGTGTAATTTGTGAATTCACAATTAATTTTTAGAGGAATGGTATATAGCCAGAAAACTGAAATCAGTGCATCTCTAGAAACAACATCTTCCATTTGAACCAACATAAAGAACTAATACCTCTGCTACATCCTCTGCTGTCTGACCAAGAGTTTCAAAGATCTGGTTGTAGTTCTTCAGGTAGATGTTTGTGAACATGTCCGCAGTCACTTTATCAGCTTTGCTGAGGTCCGTCTTCAGGCCCTCTTCGTAAACCTTACGCTCAAACTCCGTGATCACCGGGCCTGGTTCTATTAGGCTGATGCTGGCAAAGAAGTTAAACAAAAGTAGAGTGAAAAAGGTGACATAAAGAAATACTTAACTCGTCACTGATTGGCTCTGTTAGAACCTGCCATGTAAGCGCAACTCTCGTAATTCTGTCTTTTGGCAGTTGTGCAGCATGTTTGCACAAACGCTGCATTCAAACATCAGTACTGTTTGCAAGTCTGATCATGTTGACGATGCACTTTGAACATACTTCAGATTGAACCTCAGGGCTTGAACTGCCAAACTTTCGCAAAAGCCTTCCACTGCAAACTTAGATGCTGCATAGACATCATTGAACAATATTCCTAAAACAGAGGCAAAGAGAGAAACTGTTAGGGAAATGTTTCAAACAACATTGGGACTGAAGATGAGCAGGTCAGCCCCTCCTCACCTTGAATGCCCATGACACTGCTGATGACCACAATATGACCTTTCTTCCTCTTTTTCATATCAGGCAGGATCTCCTTCAGCAGTCGCACAAGCCCGAAGAAGTTGGTGTCCATAACCGTCTTCATCTCATCGATAGACTGGCACTCGATGGGTCCAATCAGTCCCATCCCTGCATTACTGACTGAGACAGGTGGGCAGTAAAATTCACCTTTACATTACTGTTGGCATTATCACACAGTTTTTTCTCAATGTTGCTTTGCAGCAAGAAGGTCCTGGGTTCAGTTCATGATCTGGAGTCTTTCTACAGTGAGTTTTCATGACCTCCATGTGTATGAGTGTGTTTTCTCCAGGTACTCTGGCTTCCTCTGACAGTCCAAAAACACGACCGTTAGGCTAGCACGTCACTAAACTGCTCTTCTGTTGTTTGATCGTCTGAATTCAGGGATGTGTGTCTCGTTGTTCCCAAATTGACCAGTGCAGGATGAAGGTGTAGACAGAGGATGGACGGACGGATAAACTACAAAAACCTTAATTCAGATTTCTTGTGTGTTTTCAGTGAACTTTAGGGATGGATGCACGAGACTGAAACAGACTCTTCCTGAACTTCCAGATGTCTTATGTTTTATTTTCTTTCTAGTTTCTGCTCCATCATGTGGATTCTTCACTTTTTTTTATCACCCTTACACATGCAGAACAAGAAAACTGTATTGCCTCACTGTGGGATGCACTATTCAAAATTTTGGCTTGCATTGTGCAAGAACTGTGTTTTAGTGTTTCTACAGTGAAAATGTGTGCACAGAATGAGTGAAGCTTTGAACGTGTGGGTGTTTTAGCAGGAGGTGTGTGTGCAGACTTACTGAGGATGTCCACCCTGCGTTCTGGCAGGCTGTCCACGCAGGCTTTGATGGATTCCTCGCTGCACACGTCCAGCTGCTTGATCTCCAGCGTCCTGCCCAGAGTCCGGCCGGCCGCCTCCACCAGCAGCTCGGCCTTACCCGGGTTTCTCATGGTGGCATAGACTACAACACACAAACAAATGGTCCTCTGACAGCAGAACACAGCTGCGTTTCATGCAGGTCTACGCAATATGTAGGATAACATCCTGTTGCATATTTACGATCAGACGTACTATGGGTTTATTCTCTAATTAGGCTCCTACTTTGCTGACCTGCAATAATTCATATGGATAAACTGTGCTGTCGTTTACTCAGGATAATCCCTGGACCTCAGTGGCTTTTCTTTCCAAGAGAATACTGTAAGAAAACTGTTTACTGGGATATTATGGAAAACAACACAATTAATAAACACATGCCTCCACATTCTTGATTATTTTGAATCATAAAATGTTTTTCACCACTGAGTTTTTTGTGCTCTCTCATTTATTTCTTATATGAAACAAGAAACCAAATTTCTGAAACTGGAAGGTATGTAAACCTGTCACAATAATCAAATAATCAATTAATGGAACGATTAATTAAAATGAGCTCAATAATTTCCATTCTGATGATTCACAGTTGTGGTTGTAAGTGCTTTTTTTCTTCTGTATTATTTATTGTTTGTGTTTGACCTGTTTTATTTTGGGTATTTAAAACATCTTTCATTTCCATTCTTAAGTTATATTTATAAAATTAAAGTTTATTAGTTTTGTAAGAGGGCAAACTTGCATTGCTATGCACTTAATGTCTTCCCAGAGAATGGTCTCAAAACATTATCATTTATCTCAATAATTACTGGGATTATTTGTTATCCAATTAAATTGGTCACTGCAAACGGCCAAGAGGAATGAAATTGACAAAAATATGAATTCATCTTCTAGTTTCTTTGCACATTTCAGCTGTCTGTTTTGTTATTTATGCTAACCAGAAGCCTGGGGGAATTGCCTGGAGCACCCAGTCAGGTAAACAACAGACCCAACAATGCACCAGCACAAAATCTTAACAAGTATTTTTGGATGGTTTCTATTGCAAATGTCTTAGTACATTTGAAATGAGTCAAAACTAACTAACAAGTAACTGAGCAAGAAACAGGAGCTTGATTTAACTAACTAAAACCTTAATATTGATGAAAAAGTATTAGTTTCATTGGCAGATTATTTCACTTATAAGACATTTGTCCCATGTCGCAAGTATTAGTTTCATTTAGCAATGAAACTAATACTTTTTTCACCAATATTAAAGAAGTATTGACATTTTAAAAAGCTGAAAAGTTACATGCACATTTGTTTTATCTTATTTCAAGCGTTCTAACCCATTGGCACTAGAAACTAGACCAAAAATATTCGGTAATGATGTGTGTTTTTGCAGAGAACAGCTCAACGTTTCCTGTTAGTTTAAAGGGAACTCTCTCCTAAGTTCCCTTTAAACTAACGGACCACAACATTTTTTCTTCTGTCTGTTTTTTCTTTGTTTAGGTGTGACCTAAAAACCCCTAAAACACATCTGACCATTTTCAAATTTAACCCAACACTTTCAAGCTTTCAGGAGAAGCAGTGAATGGACACATTTACCCATGAACCTCTTCTTCTCGTCCTTGGCAATCCGGGCCGCCAGAGCCAGGCCGATCCCCGAGGAGCAGCCCGTGATGAGTACCACCTTCTGGTTCATTGTGCCCGCTTTGTTTGCGTTTGTCTCGCAGAATGAAGGAGAACAAAAGGAGCGAGGTGATGTTAAAGCCCACTCCTTAATCCACAGGCTTGCAACTCAGCAGAAGCCTTGTGCTTTGGGCCTGAAGATTACTGAGAAGTGTGGCCAGCACATGCTGCAGCTGCACAGGGGGATTTGGGTTAATGATAACACGGCTGTTGTCACAGGGAAACCCAGGTGTGGGACAAATCAAAGGCTTGTCAGTCAGAACAAGGGGTGAGAAAAGAGTTTTATTTTTTTATTCAATTTTAGGTCAGACATTTATCTTTACAATTTGGGCCCAAATATGCAAAATGTAATGTCAAATTCAAATCTCTACACTGCAAAAGCACAAAATTATACCAAGTATTTCTAATCTTCTTTATAGTGCAAAAATCTCAGTGCACTTGAAATAAGACAAAACTTACAAGTAACTTGCCAGCAGGAGTTTTAAGTAAATAACTCCTTCATATGAACAAAACAGTATGACTTCCATTGGCAGATTGTTTCACTTGTATTAAGGAAAACATGTCTTGTTACAAGTGAAATAATCTGAGAATGGAATTACTTCATCAATATCAAGGAATTGTTAACTTAAAACAGTCTGTTATAGCTTGCTGAGAAGTTTCTTGCAAGTTGGTTTTGTCGTATTTCAAGTGCACTAACATACTTGCACTATAAAGAATAAATACTTGATACAATTTTGTGTTTTTGCAGTGTAGATATATTTTTCTTCTTTTTTTAATCTCAGTTTTTGAGGCCACGAAGCTCAGAAAACAAGACTGCCTCATGTCGTTTTTTTCTTAAGGAGTTGCAAACTGGTTTACTGGTGAAAGCAAATGAATACACATGAATAACAGCAAAGGAAAATGGCAGGAGGTTTTGTCGAACATATTTCAAACACTGGGTTGCATAGCCTTAAAGTATTTTTTTTCCCCACTAATGTTTTCTTTTTTTTTTTTTTTCCTGAAGGCAACTATGGATTCCAAAAGATCTTAGTTCCACATCTTGGAGTCCCAACCATGGAACCAGCCGGTGAAGGAAAGCGGCTCCTGCCCCTGCTTGATGGTGGTGATGGGGACGTCGCGGCGACCAGAGGGGTCTGAATTCACGTAGTCCTGGGCTGAAAGGAAAAGAAGGAGAAATGAAAAACCTCACAGTCAGTGGTGTTCCAGAAACATTCTTCACAGTCGGTGGTGGTGGGTTGAGGAGCAGGCAGTTGTACCGATTTTAGGAGCTCCAGTCTTCTCTGTGTCATTCGCTTCGTTTCCAATCCAAACAAAGACCTGAGAGCAGAAAAGTCTCAGTGAGCTTAAACGCAGGAAATTACATGAAAACACATTTACCACTGAACTGTGTCATCGTTAGCGGACCTGATCCCATGTGTCCAGAACCATGACGTCATCGGTTGCCAAATCAATCTGTGAGAAGTCGCCTGGCACCTCTTCTGCCTGCACGTCATCAAACACATGCTTATGTAAATATGTGGTGCAGTGCAAAAGGTATTTTCATCCTTTAAACATTTAAACATTATATTCACAAATATGTGACTGAGCAAGATAAAATAGCAAATGATGCAGAAGTGGAAGGAAAATTATAATATTCCTTCACTGATAAAAGTCTGAAAAGTGTAGTGTGCATTTGTGTCCCCCTTGAAATCAAACGCCCAAAAATAAAACCCAGTTTAGATTAGGGATCTAAACTGGGTTTAGGTATTGGATACCGATATGCAATAGCATACATGTACTAAAATATAAATGTGTCTGATAACTCTGCTCCAGTACAGTACACTTAAATACACCAATAGCTTCACAAGCCTGGTCAAACATGTAAAAATAAGACAATTTTCATTTGTTCAATCAGTGAAGTTATGAGTAGAACAGTCAATGTAAAGTAAATAAGAAACTGAAATTGAGAAGATGGTGTTCTGCTGAGGTGAGACCAAAATTAAGCTTCATGGCTAATATGCAAAATGCTATATGTGGCACAAAACTGACAGCAAGCAGGTGGCATCATCTTGATGTGGGAATGAATGCAGAAATGATGGGATGAACTCAGGGCAAGACCAGTAGCAAACCTGTTATAGCATGCAAAAGACTAAAGACAGGAGCAGAGGTTCCACTTTTACAAGGGCAATTATTTTCAATCTGCAGTTCCATGGCCCAGTCAAAGTCCAGCCCTAAATTTGATTGTGCAATTTGATTCAATCAAAGACTGGTCTTCACAGCTTCTCTCCATCTTATCCAATTCAGTCATTTTGTTATTTATTCTTTTTCCTCCATTGTCTAATTATTTGCTACTTTGTGTTGGTCTATCACATAAACAAACTATTTGTAAAAAAAGACAAAATGTGATACTTGAACACTCACAATGAGCCGACCGGTCTTATTGGAACAGGCAAACAGTCTTGGTGGTCTGACTATGTTCTGGAGGGTCTTGGAGGTCTGGTATTCTTTCTTCCCTCCCAGCGCTGTCCAGAAACCAGCTGCCAAAAGGATAATATTTGATTAATATAACAAAGCACCCATTGCATTGCCACGTTGCAGTGACTATGCATCTACTTTTGCCCGTCACCTGGTTCCTTGGATTCCTCCACCTCTGTGGCAGTTCCACCCAGCAGGCTGGCAACGTACTTGGCTGCAGTCATCTCATCCGGACTTGCTCCCTTCCCCTTCCACACGAACAGGGAATTTGCCGATTTGAGCACAAACACGTCGTTAGTGTTCAGACTGGAGGCCGTGGCTTCCACCTGGGTCAAAGACATTGAAGATTTCCACAGTTCAGCACAAAAAGCATCACTTCCACATCTACTTTTCTCAAGAATCAAGGCTGACCTCAACAGCCCTCAATGCTTTGGTGGAACTCTGGCGGATATGGAAGAGGCGAGTGCTGGCAGGTTTGCTGTCTCCACCCTTGCGGGACGTCCCACCCAGGTGGACGATTAAAGGCTTGTCCTTAAACAGGCTCACCAGGTGAGGAGGCTCTCGGCTCTGAGTGACCCGGACCTGTAGAGACACAGATGATGTATAGCATGAAGATGTGGAGAAAGCATGAAAGCTCAGCTCTCTAACTGAAAGGTGAGTCTATCTGAAATCTACTGGAGCGGAGTTTTTTCTTTTCCCTTTCAAAAACACTAATCTGAACAAAATGATTCCATAAGGTCAACTGGTTATACTTTGATTTGCTACCAATGAGCAATGTTCTGTAGTCCTGGGTAATCTCAGTGGTAGTGCTGCTTGGAGATGTTTAGACATTTTAGAGCTTCTTGGTTTACTTTTGGTAAGAAAGTCCTTGAGTGGAGATCTCTGTTGGAACCAGAGAGGCTGTGTAGAGTCCAATAAGCTCTTGGCACAAAAAATTAAGAATTACAGCAAAACACAGGAAGTGGTGCTGACATCATAATGAAACAGACAAGTCAGAGTACCCAGAGAGAACCCATTTATGCATTGGGAGAAGACGCAGAAGAACCGAGCCTGGGATTCAAACACAGGATCACAGTGCCACCAACTGCCATTACGTGACCCACTACGTGTGAGAACATAACAATTTTGCAGCCTTTCACTATAACAAATATAACTTGAACTGATGTTTTATCTGTAAAATGTAATGAATGTTTGTTGTATTCAGTAAAAAGATAACACACCTGAGTGGCAACTCCTCCCATGGAATCGTCCAGTTTGACTGTGAGGAAAGCTGAAGCAGCCAGTTCATCCTGACTGCACTTCTGGCCTTGCCTGCAGCAAAGCAACACCAGGTTCAGTGCTGGGAATGTTTGTTTAAGCTTCGAGCAACAGAAGCAGGAAAGAAATTTTCTGCATTCAGTCCATTGGCTAATATACATCATTTGCTTAAAGGATACGTAGGAATGATAAATCTCTGTTAATGTTGTGAATAACAGTAAATGTAGTCATTTCAACTTCTGCAGATAGTCAAACTCGTTAAAAGGCTAGAAGAGATGTACAGAACACCGACAGGGACCAGTTTGTCTGAGGCCGTCTGACAAATGATGCAAAGCTGCACCCACCAGGTGTAGATGATGTGCTTCTGCCTCCCTCCATCGCTGTAGGAATACAGCACCAGATAACAGTCTCCTCCATAGAAATGCCCATAGCTGGACGGGTCCACAGGGGCCTTGTCACCTCCTTCCACACGCCAGATCTATGAACAGCCAATAGTGTCTTATGTGTAAACACTACTACTACTGATATTAGTCATAACAATATAATAAATGATACATGCTTTGTTATTGTGGCAAAGTCCGTAACCTTACCTGGACTTTCCCAGAGCCGTTATCCACCATGCCATGCTGGGCGGCCATGGCGTTGTTGCCATGGAGTTTTGAGGCATCGAAGGGAATCTTCTCCACTTTAGCGATGCGACCCACAGTGTAGGTCTGACCCGTGGCCGCTCCCTCCAGCCATTTGAAAAAGAACTGCTTGAACAGAGTGGTCTCACTCCCCGCAGGAATGACTTGAACCTTTCATTGGGAGAAACACACCAAGTAACGAATGTGTTTTCATCACACCATCTAATGGAGACCCTGTGACAGACACTGACTGCATTACCTTTGTTCTTGGAGAGTAATTCTTTTCTTTGATGAACTTTTGGGCAATAGTCCACGCTTCTTTGCGCTCAGTTGAGTTTGCCTTTGGTCCTGCAATGTGGGATGTGGTACAAAGATCAGAGCTGAACAAATTTACTCTGTAGTTCAATGGAAAAGTAGCAAAATCCTATTTCTACAAACACAAATTGTACATCAGCAAACATACAAAATACAGATAAGTTTTTGGAAAAAAACCAAAAACAAATCAAAAGCCTAATACCTTTCCAAACAAATATGTTCCCATCGTCTCCATTATCCAGGATGTAGCATTCACTGGGAGAGAGCATGTCTTGTTTGAATGGGTTTGAACTGGCCACCAGAGTTGTTGTCATGCTTCCAGAAGCATCAGAAATCTACCAATAAAAGATACGACTCAGACTTTTCAATGTATCACTCAAATCTATTAGATACCAGCAACATGCAGGCCTGTCAAAATAACAAATGTTACTGGACAATAAATAGTCCCAGACGTTACTGTGACCAACGATTACATTGTTGTTTTGAGATGATTTTCAAATGGCATAGTGGTAATGGCATAATAATAAGAGAACACATTCTCAGTGATCAAGTTTAAACAAAAACTTTTTTGAAGCAGAGTTGAGAAACTATAATAAAAAATTGAAGTGAATGTGCAACAGGCAATCTTAAAGTAAATGACTGATTTTACCACGCTTGTATTGATCAGATCCTGAAACCAACTTGGTATCAGTATTATCCATATTTTGGATCAATCCACTCACCTCCAATTCAAATGCAACAGTAAGTACAAACACTTCTGCTCCACAAAACGGAAGTGCTCCAGACCAATAGGGAAAGTCAACCACCAAACCATACAAGACCAGACCCTCAGTGAAGATGGGATGTTCACTAGTGAGTCGGAGTCTTGTTCAAAAGCACAGTCTTTTAGAATGACATAAAACAAAAGCATATTTACAGAGGTAACACCTGCACTCTGCATAGTGGTCTGGAGCATTTTTGTTTTGCGGCACAAGTTTGCAGTGTTTTGTACTTACTGATGCTTTTTGTTATTTCTGACATTTCCCCTTTTTGGCCAGTTCAACATTTAATCACCATGGAGACCAAACACAAAGAAGAGACACTGCTGACAAAGGAAGTCATTCAGAAGAATGCTTTACTTCCCCAGTCAAACAAAAACCACTTTTGTTTGACTTTATTTTTTAATCTGCATGAAATGAAAGTGTCACTGAAGTTTCTGTAAACTTTTGAGATAAAAAGTTACAACCATTTCATTGAGGTATGTTCACCAGTGGTATATTTACCTGATACAGAGATGCCTTATTCTTCTTGTGCTTCGCATCATCGACATCACCGTCTCCTGAAGGGAGATTCGGCTTTGGACCAAGTTCCTGTTAACGAGTAGAGGTTATTGTTCATAGACCTAATGGAAACACAGCCAGCGACAAATATGTTGTGTGCTTTGGTGAAGAGCCAAAGAAGAAAACAGCTCACCTTGATGACAGCCTCGGGTTCACTGCCCTCATCAATAATGTTCACCTCAGCACGGCCATGTCTCTCATTGTCCCGGATGTCTTTGGCCATCTGAGTGGCCTTGAGACGCTCATAGCGATTGCTCTCACTGCCAGACCACTGGTAGATAACCTGTTGTTGCACCGAGCGGAACAGAAGGAATCAAAGAGAGGAGTCTTAGTTACTGCAAAATTTCTCTAATTAAGCATTGGTTTTCTTTAGCTCAGACTTTGTCTTGCCTTTCCCAGGTCGATGATGAAGCAGTCTCCCTTGTTGAAGCTGTCCCAGGACAAGGCCACCTCGGTGGCTCTGACTGTACGCCGGCCTTTGAGGTGCAGCAGGCGCTTCACAGTCGTGTCGTTGGTCACGACATGCTTGAAGCCTGAGTTTACTCCTCCTTTCTGTGGATAACAAACCATTTATACCTCTGCTGTCCCATCCAGAACAAATGAAAACAATGAATATGTTAGACGTCAACATCCTGCTAAGAACTTTGTTCATTTCATTCTGAAAGGACAGAGACATGCACACACCGCCCTGTTTGTTCCACCCTCAACGACCAAAGCAAAGACAAATGAACACCTAAAAATTGATCCCTTTGTGATCCGTCCATTCACTCTTTCTTGGAACCAGTGAATTTTGACAGGCTTACATGCAGCAGGCTGCAGTACCAAGAAGTACACTCCCATCAGCCACAAATGCTTCTAAAGCCACAACTATCTATGCTTTCAGTCTGTCTGACATCTTATGTCTAGACTTGACAAAATACAGCTTTCTTAGTTTGATCAAATTCCTTTTGGTCAATTGAACTGATGAATAAGTTTTGTTGTGCTTCCAACTGGGAATTCAGAAAATCTGAGTACAAAGAAAAAGCTCCTTTACAGTCCAGTGATTGCTATTAAGAAAATGAGAAATGATCTGGCTAAAAAGAATGGTTATACTATGGACAAAAGCAAAAATGTTGGTCAATGAAAATGTTCATTATTTTCATTGTGGTTTTGGTTAATTTATTCACAAGTAATACCAGGGCATTCATTAAGGTATTTTCCAGTGTTATTTCATGGATCAGAAGCTTACAGGTTTGGGATATTGTCATGTAAATAAATCTTAAGATTGGTTTGATTGCAGTCACAATGAATCCAGTGGATTCTCCAGGCGTTCTGAGGCAGGAAATCTGAAACGTACCATCTTCAGGACGGGGTGAAATGGAAGCAAGTCTGTGCGAAAGTTTCGGCCAACAAAACAGTTGGAATGTGGTGACTCATGGCATCAAGGAGCAGAATCTCAGAGGAATGTTTCCAAAAACCAGATCCTCTCTGATACTCATGTTTTTGTATTTTGTAGGGATTTTTATTTGCTTTGTTTTGTTTTTTTGGGACAAAACTCTTTCAGATTCAAGAAAAGAATGATATTTGAGTTTAGAAGTTAATGGCATTTGTAGCAGTCTGTTATTTTGGCATTGTCAGAGCAAGTCTCTGTTTGGCAGCTCAAACTCTCCATGGAAACCCTCTATGGAAAACCAGGAGGGGCAGGCTACCACAGATCCCCAAAATAACCCCACAAATTCAACTGCTCTGCTTAAAAAGTTCCATTACTTTGATACACGAACAAAAAATCACAAAAAACAAAAGATATCTAGGCAACATTTATGTGAAGGGGTGTTCATAAGACTGACAGAACCTGTCATATACATAAAGGAGTCTTCATGAAAATTTATTGCTGTTGTCCTGAACAACAGTGATTGTTGACAATACAAACAATCTGAAGTTGAACTAAAAGTTGCATTGAAAGCTCATTAAAGTGTCAGCTTTGGATTATTGGGAAAATATTGACATTTTTAATGCGAAGTTGCATTAAAAACGCATTAAAATATAAAGTGTCATTAACTTTGCATTAAATATGTCATTGCTTACCGAATGACACTTCATGACGATGGTCAAAAATATTCACTCCTTCTGTTCATCACAGGAGTTATGTCATGAATAGGACAGTTTCATGTCAGTCTTATGCTCACCTCTTCAACTAAAATGTTACTGATATGTAACATGAGAGCAGGAGTATTTTACCTTGTACTTGATGCCAGACTTGAAGTAACCCTGAAAGGTGAGTGACTCTTCGTTTTGGAACTCGTTGAACTGGACCGGTCCGCCACCAAGGTGATCATCCAGCTGGGTGATCAGAATAGCAGCAGCTCCAGCCTCGTCTTTGGTGGCTTCATCACCTGCAAACGGGACAGGAGTTCAAAAAGTGGCAGGGAAAAAAAAAACGGGTTTGTAGGTGGGACATACCGATCCATGAGTGCACGTTGTAAGAAGGAGCCGCAGTGGTGTGGAGGATGATGTAGGCGTCCCCGGTGAAGAAGTCTCCGTAGAGCTGTGTTGGAACCGGAGCCAGATCCATCTTCTCCACCCGCCATATCTGCAGGCCGGGCTTCTTCCCCGCTGTCTGGAACGCCTGGTGTGCCATGGTGCTGAAGGCCTTAGAGGAGACACGTTTTCATTAATGCTGCAGAAAACTACCTGATGAGTTTCTTGCATGGAAGAAGCTTATCATCTTCAGTACTTTAGCCCTTTGAGTTTTCTGACTTTTTTTTCTTCTTTTTCCTGTGACTCAAACCCACAGTTCTGCTCCGAGACAGGTTCAATACCTCCCCTGGCTTTTAGAATTAAAGCATCATTCACGAACTCAAACGTTAAACCACATCACTATCTGCACATTAGAGCTTTTTGTTCTGTTTCCAATAAACTCCTGACGGGTTCCAGGAACATGTCATTGCAGAACCTGTAATGCAGGCACTTTTATTTATTAACTCAGCTGCTCTTGAAGCAGAATGTATAGGACACAGCAGGGTGTGTCCTGCCAGCCTTCACTGAGCTGCACTGCAAGTTGTCTGTGGGGTGTTTTTAAAAGACGAGCAACCAGTCACCACAGGCACTGAGAAAATTTATCTAGCTAATTGTTGAAAGTATAGTTATGATGGGTGTGGACAAACCCGTCCACACCCAAATATCCAACATATAATCATGTAAAAAAAGACTTTGTTTCAATGACACCAGGTCATAATGTGCATTATTTAGTCATTCTTGGCTTTACTTGCATGCAGCTTGTGTTAAAAGTTTGTTTCAGTAGATGCATAACGCAGACAGAGTTCATGCGGGAGCATGATCAGCCTTGCAGGAACTTGTTGCTATTGCATAAACAGAGACACGACAGGAAAGATTTACAGATCCAAGACGTTTTCTTTTACCTGGATGAGGAGAGAATCAGATGCTGGTTGTGGAGAAGCTGCACTGCTGCTCTTCCAGTCGTCCGCGGAGCCAGTTTGAGCCGCCGTGGGCTATATAAGCAGAGAGGACATCCACCCTCAGATGGAGAGGCGTGTTCAGCCACATCCAGGCCCGGCCCAGGCTGCAGAACCACACACATACACACACAACACACACCTCCTGATTCCCACTCTTACATAACTTCAATTTTAATTGTGGGGATTTTAATGGTGTCACTTTTAATTTACTGCAGATCATCTATATTTGAACATGTACAGAAAGAAAACAGGAAGTGAAATCTGAATGAGTGTTAACGTTTACTCTGCATGTGATGTTTTTACTCCTTCATGAAGTTAGAGTCCAACAGAAACACAAATGTTTCTGTTGTGTTTCTGTTGGACTGCAAAACTTTCAGTTAGAATATTTTTTCACTAAGCTAGTGCTTAGCTTAACGTTCGAAAGTATTTATAATAATCTAGAGGTTTATATATCTGGGCGCCACAGAAACCCCATTAAGGAGAAATCTGAACCTCATAAATCTCACATGATTCTGAGCCTTTATCCTCCCGACTCCTGCAGCTTCAGGGAGCAGCGCATGAAGCCCTTTATCACTGCAACCATGAAAGAGTTTTTGCTGCCTTAAAAAAAAAATTATTAGCTTTTTATAGGAGTTTGATATGAGACTGATGAAAGGAGGGTGAATCATTCTCTGATATTAATCTGATGGAATCCATCAAAAATTTCAAATATTTCATGAAGCTTTGCATTCTAACAATGTCCCACAGCATTACAGACCCTCCACTTTACTTTTTTTAATAATTTTTTTTGCATATTAACCTTTTGCTAAAGTTATATTAGCATTTAGAAAGCTGGTGTTAAGAACAGAAAAATCCTTTCCCCAGCTTGTCTAAACTTACATCATCATCCACTTATTATTGATCTGACTGCAGACATCAGCAAGTTTGAGTGAGTGGATTTTTTTCATCGATTTCTAAATAATTGTCTCTTGACATTCTGCTATACACAAACTGAAGGTTAGATTAAGCAAAAGAAGTTATTCGATGTCAATTTAACTCAATAAATGATAATAGTATCATAATTCCCGGGAGTGTTTTTGTGTTTCTGAGTTAAAACTTCAACTTTGCAATAGCATTACATAAATATGTTTTCTAACAGGTAGATTCTGTTTTACCTGATGTTTTGGCTTGTTGTTAGGTTACGTCTGTTTAGGCAGCGGCTTGTTTACATCTGAAACAAGAAGCCAGTTCTCGTTGTGTGAGATGTATTAGAATGTGTTTGGTTTTTTTGCTACCAAACAGTAGGAAACAGGAAGTAGACGTGCCAGTTGCAGACATTTCCTGCCGCGATAACTGTAAGTCCATCCATTACTCAAGTTTGAGTTTTGTAAGGGTAGTAATGCAAACAGGTTTCAGTGTGTTTGTTTTGTCTCTGTTGTTTTTATTGATTTGTAACGCAGCACGCCTTACTGAAATGAAATATGGTGGTCTAAGCACTTCTTCCCTGACAGCGTAATGCATTCAGTCTGTCTGTGGAGGCACTTTACCTGGCAGCCAGGGAATTCTAGCTGCACTGTTCAATTCAGAGGTGAATAGAGGTGAAGCATTGATGAAGGTACAGAAGAATTCAAAAACCAGACAGTTAGACTGCTCTACGAACACATTTTATGAGTATGTCAAATACAAAATTATGACTCATAATTTCTCTCCAGCAGAAAAACAGCTCCAAATATAGAATGTTGACTCATCTGTTTCCTGAGCTTCTTGCAGCAGCTCTAACAGGCTGGTCGCCTCTTCTAAGTTATGGTAAACGCCCCTCTGTGCTGCCACCACAGTTGATTTGGCAATTACACATCTGTTGCTTTAGCCCGTATGTTTCTCGATTGCATGGCTTTTGCACGGCCAGTGGCCCCTAAGACTGTGGCCCTGCTGATAGCGTGACAAAGCGGAGGCCCAGATCTCCTCTGTGAGCTCTGGCAGTCGCCTCAGGTCAGGGCTGGCTCTGTCGACTCCCACTGGCAGAGCTGCGTCAGCACATTCTGCCTCATTGTGCAGAATACACACATCCCTGTCCCCGTCTCACACACGCCAACTCCAGCACCCACGAGACTAAACAGATGCAACACACTGACTGAGCAGATAACGACGACCACACACACACACACACGGGCCTGTTCTAACTTGTGAGGGCCCAAACCTCTCTGAGTTACAAGTTGCATAACTCTTGGGGGAAATACTGTCCTGACCATGGAGTTTTCCACAAACACACAGATTGCGAGTAGCTGCATATGGCGCAGCGATATAACAGGGATTCTTTATGACTGAGCATGAGAGGCGGATAGGAGCAAGGATCTGGCGCTCCCGGTTGCCCGCGGCTGCCTCTCGGTTTTAATTTCCTGCCGCAGCAGCTCCGCTCATGTGGAAGATCATTTGCAGCTGGTGGTGGACCAGAACTGATGCTGCTGTACACTTCAGTTTAATCATTCGTAAAAAAAAAAAAAAAGGAGAAAAACAAATTTCTACTCTGCTTTCTCACCGAAACTGTTCTCAGCTGTAGGGATGCATTATGGAGTGGTTTCCACCTTAACGTGTCAGTGAGGAGGAGTTAACTGTGTGTCAGTGCTACCTCACCATGGCCCTACTGAAATACAATAAACTGAGAAAAGTTTTTTTTTTCTTAGTGCTGTTAAATGTTCTAAATGTGCAGTTAAAAATGCACTAACATAGTTTGAAATTACAAATGCTGATCTAAAAGATTTCCTTCTACTGGATGTTTGGCTCATTTCTCATCTCATGCTTTTGTAGTTTTTGTCTTATGATGCATAAAGGTTATCAGTACCAAGTTGATTAACAGTAACACACTCCATTCAGCATGCAAAAATCATTGTAAAAACCAAAATGTGGTAAAATGCTAATGTTAGCTTAAGTGCTTATTTCAACAATGTTATCACTAACATTGTTAGTGATAATTTGGATAGAAAAAAAGAGGACAGTAACATCCACAGCAGCCAAGAACCACAAACCTCACTGACCAGTGTCCTTCCCCTCAAACTTCTAAAAACTGAAGGTTGTAAATCAATAAATCAAAACTGTATTGCTTTTGAAAAGATTTTGGTTCCATTATGAATAAATCCACCTCTGCATTTCATAAAAGTTTGCTCAAAAATCAACATCCACAAATATTTAATTTCTTTCCTAACGACGTTCCCTGGAGATACAGTCACTGAACTTCAGATCTAGAAAGATTTGAAAAAGAAATAAAATGGGACGGTCTGTTTTTTTTTTCTTCTTTTTTTCTCATATACTTAAATGAATTTTGCAAGGAAATATTCTTGGATCATCAGCAATCCGCCTAACCCTTCCTATAACACCCTGCCTTTCATTTTACAAGGTTTACCTTAGATGTACCAGGGATTTTTGAGTGGATCCACAGGAGGAGAACAATAACCTGAAGTGAACACAGCATATTGCTGGAGGGGAAAAGAGGATTTGAGTTTGCAGCTCATCAGCAGGTCGGAGTCAAAACTGCAGCTGGACATTTCTCTGGCATAACACAGTAAAGGTATAGATGTATTTCTGAGTGTATTTGTGAACTGTGTGATGACTTTCCTTTATTTATTTATTTATTTTTTTACAGCCAGCAGTATTCAGGGAAAGGTCACGTCATCTCAGCTTGTACTGAAAGAAAAAGAAAAGAAATAAAATCTACAAAAAGTGAATTGCAGTGAATTCACCCCCCTTTACTCTGATAACGCCATATAAAATCTAGTGCATGTTCATCCTGAGCACACCATCCCTGCAACCAGGCAGAATGGGTGTTAGTATCATGATATGGGATGCTTTCCTCAGAAGGGTCAGGGAAGTAGGCTAGAGTTTATGGGAAGATGGATGGAGCCAATCCTGGAAGAAGCCTTGTTGGTGAAAAATTAGAAATTTGCCTGAATTTCATCCTCCTGGACAGAAACATCAGAGATAAAGCACAAACCACGAGAAAATAGCTTAGAGATTTTAGCGCAATACAATGGCTTAGATTAAGTCAATACCTCAATTAATTAATTAAGAATTTGTGATATTCACAGATGCTCTCAGTCTAATCTGACTCACTTTGGCCATCTTGCAAAAAGTGTAGTCTAAATTTGGGCAAACATTGTTTCTGTAACTGCAGCAAAAGTTGTTTTCTGCAGGTTGTCGACTCTGGAGACCGAACACAAATTCCTTCTTTATTTATTCAGTATTTTACTGTAAATAAATATTTTTCCTTCCACTTCATAATTTTGCACTACTTTTCACTACTTTTCATATAACTTTTTCATGAGTAAAAGTTACATGAAATCAAATATTGCACATTGTTTTGGAACCTGAAGGTTTAAATTGACAAGCTGAGAGTAGATTTGCCTACAGTTCCATCAACAAGGAACTGTAGGCAAAGTTTAAAATAAGTATAAATATCGTCTAAGTCTTGTCGCTGCATCTGGCTGACAGAAAGTAAACCTGGTCCTAATAAGAGGACCAGGAATGGGAGGGAATGGTTTTGTTTAAAACACAGGCGAGCTGCTCTCTGGGTCAAACAGATAAAAACGCTGGGAAGAAAAAGAAAATTATGAAGTATTAAGACAGGAAACTGAGAGGAATATCAAAAGTTCAAAAATAACAAACATGGTAAACAAAAGGACATCAACATGAGTCACTGTGAACAAATGACAGGAAACTCACTGAAGGAAACAGGATTTCCAGACTTTAAAGCCAAATGTTAATGCTTAGCAGAGGAAACCAGAACTGGCTACGAACATTGAGCTGGGAGGAAGCCATCCAGAAATGATTCAGACTTATATTTCAGGCTAGGGCCAGATTCCCTGGTCTGAGTAAAAGTTATTTATTATTTTCTAAAATGCAACAAATTTCTAATGAAGCTACTTTGTAGAAATGTGCTTTAAGTGGTTTTTGTTTGTTTGAGTGTTGTCAGATGTTTCAGTGCTTTTTCTTGGTGGATTACACTCTCTGCTGTCAGACTTCACAGTTTAAGAAATAAACCACATCATGTCAACTTGGACTCATCTAATATGTGGTGAACCTCAAGGTTCTGTTTGGGCCCAATTTTTTTGTTGCTAATACATACACCCCTTTGGACTGATCATTAACACATTTAAAAATCTCTTCTAACCTTTATACAGATTCCATTCAGATGAACTGCTCTTTCAAAACTTGTGATTTCTTCACACTATGGATGGCAAACTGGTTCAAAGACTGCTCTCAACTGAACTTGGAGAATAACTGCCAATAGAGAGCATGTTACCTTTGATCAGACTATAAACTGTCAAACCAGACTTCAGGAAATTATGTTATTTTGGCCATGTAAACCACTTTGGAAACCACATGCCTAAAAAAGCCCTTAGTCGGGTCAGTTCATCAAAAACTCTGCAATAAGACCCTCGACTAGAATAAACAGAAGAGCTCACTTCACTGCTGTTAAAGTTAAATGATATTTCAACTTAGAGTTGTTTTTAAAATCTCGACTTAAACTTTCAGAATCCTGCACAGATATTGCAAAATTATTAAAGCCACATTCTCCAACTCAAGCTTTTACGACCTGTAAACAAAATGAGTCAGAAGACCCAAGATTCAGATATTAAACTCCTTCCAGGCTGTTGCACCTTCACCAAATCCCATGTTGTTGTTATAGAAGAAATATTTGTTTATTCTGGCTTCATTCTGTTTACATGGGAAAAGTAACAACTAGTTATTGCTAATCTAATTTTCTTGATTGACTGATATGGATAAGTGTGTTCATCTATGTCCTGGAGCATGCAGGTGTGTGTTGTCACAATCCCAAGAAGACACAATCTGTAAAAGGTTGCAAGGTCATTTTCCAACAATTTGAAGTCCATCAGATAACGTTGAGAACGATGATCCACAAGTGAAAGACGTTTCAGTGTTCTTGGGAAAAGACATCCTGCTAGTTTACAGCATTTCAGAAGGACGTGTATGGGGCATCGCAGAAACCCAAGGCATCAGTTAGCATGTTAAATGCTCATGTCACACTTAGAAAAAGACTCAATTATAATGTGAGACAAAAGTCATAAGAAAGCCTCTCTCTTTTACAAAGAATATGACAGCAGGACTGAGTACAGGCTGCAAAGTTGGGCAGTTGGTAGACCTGTTGCCTTGCAGAAAAAAAGGTCCTGGGTTTGAGTCCCGGTTTTCCCTGTGCATTGCGTGTGTTTTCTGGCTTCCTCCCACAGTCCAAAAACATAACAAAATCATAGCATAACAGTTATACTCACCTAATGAGAATTTGTTCTCTCTAAATTCTCATGAGGTGTGTGTGTTCATTGCTGTTTGTCCTGTCTGTCTTGTATTGCAGTCGTGCAACTTGAGCATCATGTGGCGATGAGTCGACCACAATCACCTCTGTGTTCTAAGGAATTCTCCAGGTGGTTGTCGAGACAGCTGTCTGACAGTGACACAGGACAAGGTTAGCAATTTAGCAATGTTGGATAAAGAAAAATCTGGAATCATTATTCCAAAACTCCCATCCATATTTTCTTCCCGTCACAGGTTCCGAACCCCATTGGTCAACGGACATGAGGCAGGCATACTCTGCACAATGCATTGTGAGGGAACCAACAATACACCTTCATACAACAACTCATCCAAAATGAGATGCTTCGGTACTCAGAGAGTATCTACCTCTGCATTGGAACAACAATCAAACTAAAAAAAAAAAAGGAGCAAAATTTGATCTCAGGACCTCTTTGATGTCAGGTTATAGTTTTACACTCATGGTAACTGCACTGAACTCATATGGTGCATTTCCAATGCAGGAAAATTGTAAATTGCTCAAGAGTACTTTGACATGTGGCGGGAAGAAGCTGGAATCAAACCTACAATCTTCCAATCACAAGACGACTACCCACAGAGCCGCAGTCGCCCAGATCCAGTTCCAGCACAGTTCATCGTAACAATGTAGGACCTGATGACTGCAATATTTTTATTCCAATGCCAAAATTACAAACACCTTAAGGAGTTTAAAATAATTTTTTTGAATTTGTTTCAAATATTCAGTGCAAATCTCAACTAATTACATAAATGTGTGTGATAATTGTGACAAATGTCGCTGTGGTCACCACATTCATTGTTAGGATGCCTCTGGTTGTGGCTGTCAAAACAAGGACATCTTTCATGGTGTTGTTGCCCCTACTTACAGCATACTTAACATCAGCAAACAAGCAATTTTCAAACCATTTATCAAACCCAGTGTTGTTGTCCTGCCAGTCCTTTGCCAACCAGACATCGGCTGCGGGGTGCAAAATCTGCAAATAAAACCAGGAGAATGTGACGGTGGCAGCAGAGTGATGTGTGCTGAGGGTAACTGAGTTCTTCTGGGTGTGTGGTAACGCACTGAAATCTCATTCAAGAGTTTGTCCACATACCGAGGAACCAGTTTTTTGTCTCTCTGTAACGTTTGTTTCATTGCGGTTTGAAGACTTATTTCGACACAGCTCTCCCACGCTAGAACTTCAGATATAGTCTAAGGTCTAAACTTTGATTGGACCACCATGAAGTTTCCTGCTATTTCTTACTTGATTTGCTGCTTTGTTTGAAATCTACTTCAGTGTTTTAGCTCATCAAAGATATTTTAATAGAAGACAGAAGCTGCATTTCCTCTGACCATATCATAGCGCAAATTGCGATTTAGAGAAAAATCTCAAATTTTTCTATTTTTTTTTTTATGACTTAATAGGATTTTTTTTTTTTTTTTTTCAGTAAAACATTGTTGGGTCTGAGATGAGGTGGAGCTCTGTATTCACATCAAAATGGATTTATTCAGCAAAACATCGATAGAAACACTTTTTTGCATCATACGAGGCACATGATCAACAACCGGCTGTTGGCGCTGGCGCCAACCACGAAGAAGAAGACAACAGGAAGGAGCTGGAGGGTCATGACATGGCATGATTTTTGACTTATAGTGCACAATTTACTCCTGCGCAATTTTTAATTGTGTTTCTTATTTAATGGAAACACTTCAGTTTCAAAACTGTTTTTGTTTTTCAGCATTAGTGGAATATGACGTTTTGTGCACATTTGTAATGGAGACGCAGCTAGTGATGACCTGAGTGAATACAAAAAGTAGTTTTCAAATAGATATTTAATTTATGAAGAGACACTGGTCATTTTTCCAAGTGAAAATGTAATTCAGGATTAGTTCTGTGAATGCAGGATGAAAACATTGTGCTGTGTGTTCTACTAAACCTATTTAGTTCAACACATCTTCTGATATGTTGGAATGTGTTACATGCACACTTAGTTCACTGAAGATAAATGAGGTGGAGGTCAGGGATTGAAGTGGATGTGCGTTTTGACGACACCCGTTTTGTCGCCATCCAGTGCCATGGCAAGACAACTACAGTGAATGCAGGCGTTGTGGTGATCTCGTCTAAATAGTGACGCAGTGCCGTCTAAATGTCAAACTGTCCCAGTCAACATCCAAAAATGTCGGTAGTGTCCATACATAAGGCTTGGGGAAGGGGCTACAGAGATGTTTTGGGACCTCTGAGGATCACAGTGAGAGCAATTATCCAGACTCATGGAACAGTGGGGTGGTCTGGTTACCAAAGAAATCATCAACATTCAAGAGGTCTTTAATGAACCCAGAGCATTTAAAGCACTACAGGCCTCACTTGTAGTGCTTGATTCAAAACAACAGGGAAGAGAGAGAGAGAAAAAGGGAGAGAAAGAGAGAGAGAGTGGCATCAATGAGAATCAAAACATTTAGTTATTCCTTGATTTTTCCCAAGAACATTATTTGGAACGATGAGTCTTAGGCAGAATGTTTTGGAATGTGCATGTCCCATTATGTCTGCTGTAAAAACTTGCATGAAAAGAAAATCACACAATTAAAAAACAAACAAACAAAAAAACATGAAAAATGAGAAGGTAATGTGATGGCCTCTAGCGATTTTAACACTTCAGAACCCTGCCAACTTTCTATAGTTGATGGAACCAAAATCAGAGATTTTGAGAACAATTGCTTTGTCAGATCACAGTAGTTTATTACATGTTATGCAGTTGGTAAGATCTCCTCTGATTTAATAAATAAACAGAGGAGTTTATGGTCAAATCAGGTACACAAATACAAGAAAACAAGCCCAAGTCATCACCCAACCACCACCGTGCTTCAATGGTTTGTTCTGCTTTGCTGTTTTTTGAACTCTAGAAACTTCTGTGCTGCAGTCAAACATCACCAGTTTTGCACCGTTTGTCAAACGACGTTTTACCTCAAGTTGATGATCATTTACTGAAGCGGAATCAATGCATCCTTTTTCCTTCAAGCAAACCTTCTTGATCAGCCTGTTGAACTTGCTTAGCTTAGTTTCACTTGGTTTAGCAGTCATGTCAGGTATCAATGGCTGCCCTTAAGCAGTATGGCATTGCTTCACATTTCTGTTGTGTAAGAATCCAGCTGACAGTCATTTGCCAAAACATATCTGTATAAAGGGCTTACTCTTCCTGAAGACTGATTCTGCTCATCTGACAGGGAACGCCTTAACTCCTAATGTTCAGTGGACTGAAGCTCACAACTTTTTAAATTTCATTATGTGAAAACTTTAGACTTCAACAGATGTAGAGGGAATATACCTGGCTATCCAACTTAAAATAGTACATCATTTTCAGTGCAGTTACAACTATAATGAGAAAGGCGAAGAGGAGATGAAAAAGACACACACACAAAAAAAATTTTAACAGAAATTTTTAAGTATGACCTGTCCAGGGTGCCTCCCACACCCCTCCTTGAAGACGCTGGATGGAGATGGTTATGGCTTAAGAGAGGAGGCATATGGAGTCAATGTAGCCAGTTAGCAATATGGACACAAGCTGGGGACTGATCATCCCGCTCGGTCACCTGGGAGAGAGGGTATGATGTTGAACGACCCGAAACATTCAACAATTCCAGTAACATCATTGACGACGCATCCAGATGTATCAGTGAATTCATTATTACTTGAACACTGAGACAACAGTGACAACCAGAAAGGACTGGATGACAACCAATTTTGAGCAAGCAGTGTTCATGTCATAACGTCTGCAAGAACATGCATGACCCGAAATCCACCAAGTGAAGATGAAGTGTTTGATGGGGCCGGGAGTAACACGACGCACAGGCACAGAAACCTGGTGAGACACAGGAGGAACCCGGCCCGACCCGGCCCGGCCCGGCCCGGAAGTCTCCCCTCAGCGCTGGAGTCTTGGAATGTTGTCTGCTGATCCCACAGGATTAAGTAGCAAGCAGCTAACATGACTTCACTGTGAAATCGTATTTATAAGATATGTATACAGTTTTATACACATATATCAGCTTGTTATATATATAGATATACAAAGATATATATATATATATATATATAACAAGATGAAAATAAATATCAGTTGTAAATATTGGCCCAATTTTATTTATCGAACCAATTTCGATACGTTAAAAAATGAATAAAATGTTAGTAGCGATATATCATGCATGCATTCCTAACAAAATGCTTCTTTTTTTTAAGTAAGATTTTCCTTTCAGGTCAAAATTATTCACTGCTCTGTGTTGTTTTGGTCACATGATAAAATGCAAAAGGCACAGTACAGCTGTTGTTTTCTAGTTTCACAATTAAAATGATAAATGGAAAAAGGGTTTCTTCTAAAAGTCTGCAAACAAAATCATTGTTCTTAACACACTTTATATTTAGGTTCATCAGAAACACTGAAAACGTTCCTCTGCTTTTCTGTCGCAAGCTGAATTTTGATAGGACTCTAGCGCCCTCTGTGGGAGCATCGAGTGTGAACATCCACCATCAACAAGCCTCCTCCAAATCCCTGGAACAGCAGCCTCTTCCTCACCAGCTGTCTGTTATTCATTTCAAATAATAAGTCAAGAAATGCAAAGTTGATTTCTGTGGCTTTATTTCACAATATTATCATCTTGTTTCTTCCAAAAGACAAAAAAAGAACTACAAATCTGCATTACGTCACATTTTCAGGTAAATGTAGAAGTGCAGACCTCACAATGTATCAACCTCCAGTTCCTCATAGGACAGTGTTGTTGTTGTTGTTCTAATCGTGCAAAAGCAACAACTCAGGGCGGATGAGTCCATCGTGAGCAGAAAACATTCAGTTTACGAATTAACTCTATTCTCCTCACAGCATGTGACGCAGTGTGAAACGACTTCTGATCACATCTCTGCCACAACACACCTCTTTGTCTTCAGGAGAACAAGTCCAGAAACAAAACAATACATTTTCAACATATTGAAATATTTTTTATCAGATCTATAGAACTACACAGGAGTTATTACTTTGATATATTGGGAGAAAACAGTGAAAGCAGCTTTAATCTGTTGGTGTACCTCTGGGGCGTGAATAAACAGGCTTTCTGCATTGCCTTGCATGATGACAGAGGATCTGGAGTGAGAAAATGGCCGACAGGTTGAATCTAGAGGAAGGCGGTTCACCTGAGGCCGGCGGCCAGCTTCTCCATGGCCACCTTGCGCTCCTCCGCCTTCTGCTGGGAGCGCCGCAGGACGTTCCTCAGCTCCTGGAGGTGGTCCAGCGTTCCCACCAGCTCTCCCTTCACCGTCTTCATCTGGCTCTCCAGCATCTGTGTGTGGTGGAGGGAGTTCCTCCTGTAGCGCCTGGTGGAGCGCACCTTCTCCTCCAGGTCCTCCACTGCAGGCAGCAGCAGAAGGTACAGTGTGACACCAGAAAAGAAAAACACACCCCAAGATTTAACAGATGTGAAGTTACAGACCCATGTTCTCCTGGTAGCCCTTGCTCTCCGGACCGGAATCGGTCTTCTTCTCCATCATGTTCTTGGTTTGCTGCAGCATCTTCTCCATCTTGGCGAGCTCGGCGGCCTTGGTGTCACTGTCCCGCCGGATCCTCAGCAGCTCCTGCTCCCTCTGGGTCAGCTCGCCGGGGAACTTACTCATTTTCAGTCCTGGAAAATCAAAATGTCAACAACCCAGTGTGCCAAACCTCTTCTAAAGCCCCAGACAGAAGGATGACACTGGGAAGGTAATGTTTCAGCATCTGAACTTGAAAGCTCTGAGCAGCTTGGTCCTCCCTTTCACATGAAACGCTGGTTTGTCTTTCAGTTCAGCTGCTCTGCTGCTGGTATTCGGCTTTTAATAGGCTGTAACCTCAGCACACGCCTGCAGGTCATCTGAACACAGCCTCTCTTAGTACAAAACATTACAATTAGCCAGTCATAAGACTGTTACTGCACAGCCCTGAAGAAACGGATCATTTTCTCAGTCAGTCAGAGGCTGCAAAGAGCAAAGTAGACCATTTAAAAATAACTCAGTGGAAAAAGTAAACTGATAAGACTGAAACAAAACGATTGATGAAGTGTGGTGAGGTTCTTTTTAAACAAGAACAATCATCTGTCAGCCATCAGAGGATCCGTCAGCGTCTTGTTCAGGTGTTGTAGCGATAAGCCCCTTATTCTTAAGAGCTGCTAGGCATACGACATTTTGGGGAAATTATATTTCACTCTTTCACAGAAGAGTTATGTATTCAACACGTTCAAATGACTCACAACGTTTTATGAACTGTGTGATGCTGTGGGAGCTCTTTAGGACCCAGCTGCACATAGTCTGAAAAACCAAAACAAAAAGCCCCGAAAACAAATCATCATCCTAATGGGACAACCACTTCCTGTTGTCTACTTTGTCGTTTCCTCCAGTAGTAACGTCCAGCTGTTGATCATGTGGCTCGTGTGTCTCAAGTGTTTCCATTGCAGTTTTGTAAAATACTTCACTCAGGTGTAAGTGCAGCATCATCCTCTTCATGTTGCCACAAACATTTCAGACAGAACTGGGCCAGAGATAGAACATTAGCATACTATGTCAGCAAATTCAGGTCTCATATTGTCCTGCTGAAATTAATAAGTGCCTTGAAAATATATCCTTACAAACAGAGATGTCCAAAGTGCAGCGCGGGGCCATTTGTGGCCCTCTGAAGGAGAAAATGTGGCCTGCAAGTGTATTGTAATTTAGTGAACTTGGCTAAGAATAGCAAGCATTTGGAAAGCAAAGTGACCCAGATCTTATTGTTAGAACTGAGGGTGAATTTATTTTAAATGAAGCCCAAAACAATGTGAATTTCTTTAGATTCAGCAAAACATAATTTTTCATAAAATAATAATTTGAAAAAATTCTACTTTGTTTAATTTTTGTTTGTTTTTTGCCTGCTAATATTTTTTTCTTGACTACTTTGACCCAGAGTGTTTGGACACCTCGGGTTTGCACAGTGTACGTTATTTTGATGAGATTTTGACTAAATAAATAAATACATGGAGAGACTCAAGCCATGTTTTGCCTTGCGGGACTAAATGCTCTGCAGATGCTCCATTTCACACCAAAAAATCAGCACTGCGTAGAAGGAGCTTCTTCTGCGTGTTTCAAGCTTCTCTGCTGGGACACAGACTGCTCCTTTGATTCCAGTTGATCAGAACCCGGTTTGATCGCTGATTTTATCGGCCTGTGCTATTATTATGATTGCTGTGCCACACATCCCTGTTGCCTCCCAGGCTATTTTCTTCTTCTGCTGTGTGACTCGTTCTTTCTCTACTGCCACCTTCATACCGCAGGCCGATCACATGCAAAGAATAATGACAGGGGAGCTGGGGGAGACCAAAACAAAAGATCAGGTCGCTTTGAAAGCAGACAAAATGGAGTGAGAGGAATTTATTTTCTGAACAGATTTGATATAATGCAAATGTTTGCATTGTGGAAGAAAGTAGCTGAAACTGAAGAAAAGAAGAACAGTGTTTTGTAGAATGTTCCAGCATCCGGTGCTAACCGGATAGCTGAGGCTGTTCGTCCCACAGAGTGCATGAGCTGCACTAGATTCACACACTCACCGCCAAACAAGTTTATTTATTTCAGCCAGAAACTTGGTCCTGTTGCTGAAAAGAGTTTCGCTTCTGCTGCTGTGTTTGTGCTCTAAGTCCTTCTGTTTATTATAAGTCTTCATCTGCGAAACGCTCCGCAGTAGGAGACCAGAAATATGAGTGGGTCGTCCTTGATAATATTTAACTCTGCAGGCTGACAGAGAAAACATTAGTCATCACATTTACATAAAGTACGCTCAAAGTCATGCTATCACGCCATCTGGGATGCAGTTTTAAGCCTGAGCTGCATATTTTCAGAGATGCTGCAGAGTAAAAGTGCTTCACTGTGCGGGAAGTGAGAGTTTCTCTGAGGGAGACGCATCAGGGGATTCTCCATCTGGAAGAAATGACACGAGTAGACCAGTACGACCAGACTGTACTGATTTGTACTGTACTTCTCCAAAGAAATCACTTTAAATGTATCAACATGTTCCAACATATTGGAATAAAGAGCTCAATCATCTCAGGCCATTCAGACACCAACAGGCTCCTGCAGAGGTTACAGCACGCCACCTTATGGTGGCTGAGGTACACAGCAATTTAAATTCACAGTTCTCTGTAGCAAAGATGGAGCGATTTTAATCCTGTGTGAATCTCAGATATTCCACAATAAACTCAAACTTATGCTGCTGACTCAATTAAAGGGGCAGTATTATTTAAAATGGACTTTTTTGACCTATAAATTATGTTGTAATGTTATCCCCTCATCAGAAACAAACCTGGAGTGTTGCCTTGATTATTTCATGCATATTTGAGAAATCCTGTAATCTTCCATAGCAACCATTCAGCTGTGCAAAACGCCCGGATGGATCTAGCCCCGCCTTTGAAACACAGCTCCTCCTCTGAGCTTCCACCAGACAGACTAGCCAGCAGCAATTAGCAAACACCTGGTGGAGCTGCTGAGCTCAAGACAGGAGCTGAAAGGTTAATAGAGGAGCCATGTCCGACTTCCTGCAGGCGGAGTTTCAGAGAGACCAGGAGTTTTTAAAGAGACAGCAGCCCAATTTTCAGGAAGTCAGATTTCTTTTAAGTATATTTGACTTCATATATATATATATATATATATATATATATATATATATATATATAAATTCCCTTATCACCCACCGCGGGTGGTTCTTATCCTCTGAGCTCGGGTCCTCTACCAGAGGCCTGGGAGCTTGAGGGTCCTGCAGTATCTTTGCTGTGCCAAGGACTGCACATTTCTGGACTGAGATGTCTGATGTTGTTCCTGGGATCTGTTGTAGCCATTGCTCCAGTTTGGGGGTTACTGCCCCGAGGGCCCTGATGACCACAGGCACCACTGTGGTCTTCACCTTCCAGGCCCTCTCCAGTTCCTCCCTGAGGCCCTGGTATTTCTCCAGTTTCTCCTTTTTCCTGATGTTGCAATCGCTTGGTATTGCTACATCTACCACAACGGCTTTCCTCTGTTATTTATCCACTATGACAATGTCTAGTTGGTTCGCCCTTATGCGTGTGGTCATATATATAATTGTTTTGGGTTTTTTTTTTTTTTTTTTTACAGCAACTGAAGGTTGCATAGTTACCCGACTATGTTGTGAAATGAGACTACATGCCCAGAAAATACACATATTTCAGTAATGTGAAATAGTTCAGTAATGATAAAAATAATGATGTGAGTGCTTTTACTTCTCAAAAACCATGTCAAAATCTGTGTTTTATAACAGATTCTGATGCTGTGAAACCGAAATCCTCGTACCTAATGAATGAAATTCAGGAGAAGAAGCTGTTGATGTTTTCCAGACAGAGAATTGTCCCACAAATATTGGAAATCTTTTTCTTATTGTATTAGGTTTGATTAAATGATTTAATCCCAGCTGACATCAAATCAAACAATACAGCCTGTCATTCTCAGTGTTTCCTCTGCACTGAACCTGTTTGCTAGTTCTCTTATGAAACATTTTTCATCTACCCACTCACAGCTTCGGGCTACTCAGCATTACAGCATCCTTTAAATGCTCAGAAGACTCTAAATGGCTCCTTTATTAAATCCGTTTTTCTTGACAATGATACCAGATTTGTTTAAATCCTTTTTTCTGTTGTCACTGTAAGAAATCCTCCAGCTCTGTTATTCTATATAAATCCTTTTTCTTTTTGCAATTATCCACCGTCTCCAATTAGTGAAAACAAAGTGATCTGTTGTACTCAGTTGTGATGAATGACAGGAACAGTGTGACATGACCGTTGTCACCACAGACGCTTTGAAAACCTGAAAACAACAGAAAACATATCAGATTTAACATTGTATGTGGAAATGACACAAGTCAATTTTTGGGAGGAAGAAAAGAATTGAAAAAAAATCTGAATTTGGCCACTTAGGTTTCCATAAAAAGTTGGCTGTGGGTTGCATTTGCCTGCTGTATGTATGTAACCATGGTGCTCACATTGCTGATTTTTTTTTATTTTTTTATTTTTTTGATGGTGTGGACCAGAGACTCGCCCTGGGCACCACAGCCAAACACTAATAACTAGACCAGAACAGGATCACCTTCTGGTATGGCAAAAAGTGTGTCACTAAAAATGATATTTCTTCATTTCATCTGAGTGTCTTGAAAACAATGACATAAATCTGACAGCGATGAAAGCCAACAACAAACCACCAGCTTTCTAACCTCTATCATCCTAACCCCCCCCCCCCCCAACCCCCTCCCTCTCAGCAGAGATCATGGCCCCCACATGAGGGAGCCTGGGCTGCAGTCGGCGGCGCGGTGCGGCGCGGCGCGGCGCGGCTCAGTCTGCCTCCTCCTCCTCGCCGCGTCCCGGCTCGCATCCCCGGCGCTGCCGCCAGGATCGATCATGCTTTATCTCGGGATGTTTTCCACGGCTGGCCCGCACGATGCCGCCTGACGCGGATGCATGAGTGTGTGGCAAACTGATTCAGACCGCAGCAGATGTGAGATGCCCTTGCCTTCGCCATGGCCAAAGGTCCGTTTCCATGGGGGGTCCTCAGAAAGCCTCTGTACGTCCAGGTAAGCTCTCGGGGGATCCCCCCACCACCCTCCACACACACACACACCCACACACACACCTCTCTGTTCTGATTCGGCTGGCTGCATGGACAGCAGTGTGTGCGCTCAGACCGGCTGTTACATGTCGAGGACAGAAACGAGGATGCAGCTGATCGCGGGTCCACGCGTGGCGTGTTTTCCCGTCACATTTTGATTCTGAATCGTTGCGAATCTGCAGAACCATGTGAAGGTTTCTCCGAATGACTCATAAAGTCACTTGATGCTCGGCAGGATCAGCCGTCCTCCTGAGCCCGCGGTTGCCGTAGCAACCACTTCCAGGGTGCAGCTGGTTCGTTGGAACCGGGATGCTGTGGAAGCAGCAAAAGTTTTCAAATCACAACACAGGTTAAGCTCTTTACACGCGTCTACCTGGCAGAGAGATGAAATGACATGATTTATGACGGCAGCATAGTGATATATATATATATTTTTTTTTTTTTTGTTTGTTTTTTTAGAAAACTCAAACCTTTAATCTGAGTAGTTTTATTGACTGGTTTTATCTCCAGCAGAGGTTGGCTGTAACACTGGAAAGATGTGCTTTTAAGAGTTGATTTACACCGTACTTTGTACTTTTACTTGAGTAATATTTTCATATTGCTGCTCTTACTGGAGTGAAAATTCTCAATATTCATTTTTGAATTTTAATTTGTTTGAATTTATTTTGGAGAACTAAAAACTGGTCCATCAGTGATTTTGTTTAAAAATATTACGTCATGAAGCTGCACTGTGTAACTTTAATAAAGTTTTTTTTTTTTTTTTTTTTTACATATTTGTTTAAACTGTCAGTCACTATGTTGTGACAGTTTGACATGAGACAGACGATCTATAATACAACTGATCTCTACTCTGAATTCTCCCAATTCTCCCAGGGCTATCTAGAAACTACCAATCAGAGCCTGGAGGCGGGTCTTAGCGCTGTCAATCATACAGAGAGCAAGCTGCTGCTAACAGAGCCTGTAATCAATGCGAAGAGTAGTTAGCATAGTCACGGCAGATAAACGTTTTTTCCTGCAACAGTAAGTTGTTTCTCTCCCATTGGTGTGTTTAGCAGTGAGTGAACAAAGTGAGTAATGGCGCTAAGCCCCTCCTCCTGGCTCTGATTGGTTGTTTTTGACCGGGCGTGATGCATTTCTTCAGACAGCAATAGTAGCTCAAAGAGAAGGTGGTGGGTCTGAAAACAGACTGTCTGTCTCATATTAAATACCATGATGTAACAGTTTTAATAAATACTCAGACACAGATACTGTAACTGGTTTGCTTATTTTCTTTTTTGCTGGTTAAATACATTCAGCTGAAGCCAATTGTTTTTTCCCTAATTTAGGCAGATTCATCTCACTTCTTGTCTGTGGACACACTTCTTGTCTGTGGACACACACACACCCACACACACACGCACAAGTGCTAGAGACAAAAAGCTGTCAGGACCAGTTAAAAGAAGGAAGAGCGAGGCGCTCTCCAGGGACCGCTCCGAGCGCCGCTGCATTTTCTAGGCCACCGCAGCCTGCTGGTGACAGCTCAGGAGGTGTCGTTCAGGGACCCTCTGAAGGCAAACGATTTCCACTAAAAATACAAAAACTGACTGCGACGTTACTCCTGCTCCGTCCTTCGATGAAACATTCTGATTCAAATCATGCTGTGATTTAGACCATTTGATTTAACCTTTTCCTCAGAGAGATGCTTCAAACACAGCTACTGGAAAAGTGGCGGTGTCAAAAATTTAAAAAAATGAAAAAAGATTCTGGTTCGATTTAGCATCAAAACATTAGTGAACGAACAACATCATGAAGCTACACAGCAGGCAGGATACCGGTTGGACGCTCCAAAGAGCTTTGCTCCAGAACTTGGAAAGCAAATGAGGAGAGGGAAACTATAAGAAAGGAGAAAAACTAACTCTGCATGACACCCTGAACACACCACAGCCATGGTGAAACAAAGTGGTGGCAGCATCATACTGTGGGGATCCCTAAATAAGAAAAGAAACATTTTATTGCCAAAAATGCAGGAACAGAATTTGATCATTTGTAGGAAATGATTCATCTGCAGCCAATAAAAGTATTTGTACCATCAACATGTGAAAAGATTTCTGCCTGACTGAACATCAGTACATTGTAGATCTGAACTGTTGATTCATTTTTGATTAATTGATTAATAATTGGATAGCAAAAGTTACACAATAGATTTTGGTCACCAAATATGGAACAGGGGATGCTTTTACTAAAATAGTTGAGGATTATTTCAACAATTGATTCATCATGATTATTTTTAATTGACTGTTTCAACCTTAGTTGATAGTCAAATCTGGTACAGACATGGAAAGGCATGTATAATTTTTTCCCCGTATCACAGTATGGACTACTTTGTGTTGTCCTATAAAACACTCTGACCATGTGTGTGTGTGTGTGAGTGTAGTGATGAGCTTTGTAATCCTTTTTTTCTTTAAAAGTGAGGAGTTTCTCTCTAATTTACTTAGTTTCCTTCATTGTATCAATATTTTAACTGAATGATGACAGCAGTTCACTGAAGATTTGTAAAATAAGCTCCATAAACAGACATTTTCCAACGTGTTCCATCCAAACTCCAAAGTTTTTCATCAGTTCCAGCAAAAATGCAAAAACACCAAATATTACCAAGCATTTACTGTAGTGCAAATACTTTGGTACACTTAAAATAAAACAAAACTAACTTACGAGTCACTTTTCAGCATGATGTAGGAGTTTGTTTTAAGCCAATCGTTCTTTAGGATTGTTGAAAAAATGGCCAGTACCACTGGTTGATTTTTCACTTATGTCTAAAGCGTCTTGTTATAAGTGACAAAAAATCTGCTTGTGGAACTAGTGCATTAAAAAAATCAATATTAAAAAATGACTGACTTAAAGAAGCTCTCATATGTTATTAAAACGTTACTCATACGCTACTTTTGTCTTATTTCAAGTGTGGTAAGATGTTTGTACTAGAAACTAGACAAAAATTATTTGTGGTGGATCTCCTGTGAGCTTTGAGGCCACAAACACAGGCTTTGTGTTACAAAGAACAGTTTCCCCGTCAGAGTGTGAGAGGAGGAGCAGCGAAAGGCGGTCCTTTCCCAGACGTTTCACCTGGCTCACGCTTCTTGTTGCATAATTTACGATGGTTGTCTAATCTGTCGGTAATATTTGACAAAATGTCTCCTTGAGGCCTCTCCGTCTTTTGTTTCCGAGCCTCCTCTCATCTGCACAGCTGTCCATTAAACAGCAACCTCTGAGGGAAAGCTTTATAATCATACATAATGGATGAATGGTGGGCAAGCTGCAAAAAAATAAATAAATAAAAAAGCATTGCGACAGTAATATGTGGCTCGTAATGAGCTTCAATCTCCTCTCTGGCTCAGTAGTCCAGCATCAGGTACAGCATGTCCTCCATTCTTTGCATGCAGTTTATCTGAAGCTTCAGGGCTAGTGGAAAAAAATGAAATAAAAAAAAAGCTCTCTGACAGGGCGCTGTGCGTTGGTGTGGAGGAGGGAGATCATCCAGATAAAGACAGGCAGCCTTTTTTTTTTTCTTTTTCTCTCCCTTCACCCATCTCAGCATATGGTCACAGTCAGTCGCTAATTAATAGCTGTCACAGAGGCCACAATCAATATTACCTCATTAGCCATGTTTGTGTAAGTCTCTTCTCTTGCAAAGGGTCAATACAGAATCCCACGAATGGAAATGCATCAGAGAGAGCTGAAATGAAAGCCGCAAAGTATCAATTAGAAGAAGCTAAGCTGTGTGTTTGTTTTCCCCACTGGGATATTTCCGTCAGGCTTTTTGCTGCCGATGGTTTCCCACCTACGGAAAAACTGACGTGAGGTTCAGGCAGCGCCTGGCCACTCATGTGGCCAGGGCAGTTAAATATCCAGCGGGCGGTCACGGTCAGATTAGTAAGTAAGTCAATCGATACAAAAATAAATAAATAAATAAAATAGCAGGGGGAATGTGATGGAGAAGCTTCAAAAACAGAGAGATAACAATGGATTTTTACCTTCATCTCAACCACAGCATAAGTTAAAAGATGCTTGTTTTTATAGCAGCTGCAATAAATGAAGGCATTTGCTGTTTAATTGGGTAGAATATGTGTAAAATAAATGTATGAAAGACTATCAGTTTCACATGAATGTTGTTGCAATCCCAAGAACCGTATTTGTATTGTATAGTATTTATTAAAACTATCACTGTGCATCAGACTGCATAGTGTTATGCATGTTATGAGACAAATAATCTGTGAAAAAGCTCTTCGAGTGGTGCGTTTCTTCAGACAACAATCTTCTTTCACACATTATCTGTCTGGTACTTTACCGTCATGGCATGGTGACAGCTTTAACTGTAAACTACAGATTTCTGTAAAAAGTTTTGTAACGTCATAAAAATGTCATAAAATGACCAATTATAAAACAAACAATGAACATTAGATTTTTAAATTACATCAAATGCCATCATAAAAATGAACAAGCAAACATACGTCAACTATGTTCATCACTTACTACTAATGAAAAGCACCTCAAACAGGTTGGTTTCTAACCTTGATTTAAAAGAACTCAGTGTTTTGGCAGTTTTGCAGTTTTCTAGAAGTTTGTTCCAGATTAGTGGAGCATAAAAACTGAATGCTGCTTCTCTGTGTTTGGTTCTGGTTCTGGTTCTGCTCTGCATCCCCAGAACCAGAAGACTTGAATGGAAATGTCTTGGTTGAAGGTACAAAAGACTTGAGATTTTGGAGGAGGTTCTGTTTTTAGCCGGATCATGGCACAGCAGCCAAAGTTACAAGAAAATGGTTTAGATCAAAGGAATTCATGCCAGAGCGGTCCTGTCAAAGTCCAGACCGACAGTAAATCCAACTGAATACGCTGCCATGGGTTTCAGTGCCATGACAATACAAAACCTTTTCCTTAAAAAGGAAGAGAACATGTGAGTGGAGGCCACATCACAGAGAGAAATTGGATTAGCAAGTGACTTACAGAAACTGCTTGAAAGCAGATTTCTTCATTATCTGTAGTGTTAACAGCAGAAAATGGATGCACGTTCCATTTGGAAAGAGACTCGTATAACAGTGTAATTTAATCTGTTGTCCTAGAGTTGAAAATTATAAAAAAAAATTTTTTCTTTTTTTCTACTAAACTGTGTAAAATCTTTGAAAGGACAAATCGGAAAATGGAACTCGGCTTAAAAGACAAAAACTGCATATTAGAGAAAGGAGAGCAGAATGAAGAGACAGACGACGTGTCAGAGATGAAGTGGAAGTGAAATCTGTGAACTGTAGACGGGGGGAGGGAGATCCATCACTGTCATGCAGTGACTGCAGGACTTGTCAACAGATAAGAGAGGGAGCGTTGATTTTCTCTAATGTTCTCCATTTGCAGGAACGCTGCGGCCAGACCGGAATCAGAAAGAGAACTAAAAGACAAGATAATGACTCTGGAGTTTCCCACATGTAAACACAACTTACAGTGAATTATTAAACATCCACTGGGATGAATACACTCTGATTCAGCTCTTCCAGCCTTCACCCAATCATGTCCTCACACACTTTCATCAACTTGTACCTCTTGTACATGCAGTCCCTTGAAAAAACATTCATATTCCCTGAACTTGTTCACATTTTGTCACCTGTTATTGACTTTGTTAATGAAGTGGGTCTCAGTGCAGCTCGGTTGGTGTTTCTATTAATATTCTGCTGTTTGGATACAAAATTCAGCAGATCATTTTCATCCACTATGTGATTGTTTCTGTATTGTAAAATGAATCACTTCTTTTGGAGAACCATAATATCCCTTAAAATGAGTTCTGATTTACTCACTCATTTGTTCTGTTTGACTTTATGACTCTATTTACAGAAGAACTAACATTGACAGGAATCTGAAAGGAAGCAGCAACTCCAAATATTCTGACATGAAAAAAAGAAAGTCATATAATCACACAAAGTGGAACTGCAGTCAAAATTCTTGTTTGTGTGACTGAATCTCTATGTTCCACAATCAATCCACCGTGGATAAAAAATTGTTAAACATTTTAACCTCAAAATGAATGAAATCCATACCAATGATAAGTACATGCATTATACTATTGGTGGCTGAGAACATGACTACATGTTGCTGCCAATTTTACTTACAGGTTCTTAGAAGTCAACATTAAGACGGAGAAGCAGAAAATATTTTTATCACTTTAATAAAAATAAATTCTGAACTGTGTCCTCCTGTTTTTAGGTAAAGTGACAATAAACTCTGAGCCAAAAGAAACTGAAATCTTTACGTTAACATTGACATTGTTATTATGAAAACATAGAGTTCTGCAAACACAGAACTCTATGTCCTGGTTATGAATTGTGCACATTTGCAGACTTTGCTCTACCTATTATAATCTTCAAGCGAATGTCAAAGGTCACTGCTTCTTTGGCCAATAGCATGAATACCATTGACTCTATTGTAAAAACTTTTAGATTTAAAGCCAGTAACAGGCTTCATAGGAAACAAATGACAAAGTAGTTCATGGTTATAACACTGACTTGGGAAAATCAATTAAGCAAGCTAATTATAATTTAATGAAATGCAATATGCACTATTTGAACTAACAATGGAACTGGAACTGTGACATATTTTGTTTTGAACATTAGTAGTCTCTGCAGTTATTTTTCTGATTGATCTTTAGTTTCTGTTCAGCTACTACTTTTTTCTTTGCTTTACTTAGTTAACGGTCAGTAAAACTAACATCTCCATGATAATCTTTTGCATCAGCAGGCAACATATATTTAAGATATTTCCCCTTCCACATAAGGTAAGAAAAACTTCAGATGAACAACAATGTGCATCATATCAGTTATACAAAAAAAAGCAATTAACCCTTTGCATCTATTGTACGTCACTTCATCATTCGAGGTGCCAAGTGAGGGACGGGAATATTGAACAGAGCGACTGACAATTTTTTTCGCCAGTTTATTAATAGCTTCTACTTGTTAAGAGTCAAGCAAATTTGTCTGTGAACGTAATACAAGGTTGGGGCTCATAGACTGACGTGTTTACAAAAGCCTGAAATAGCTAGCTTAGAAACCCACCCATATGTCCTCCCTCCTGATGGGTTGATCAAATTGCTGACGTTGCCTGATTTCTTACTAATAAGATAAGAAAGAAATTCAGCAGGTTCAGGGACATCTGCTGTAGATTTCAGATGTGTTTGGGATGACCAGCCTGTTAATGACCCAGTTTACACCCAGCCAGCTTTAGCAGTCTGACAGATGGCCTCACATTTGAATTCATTGGTTCATGGTTAGCTCAATGACTGCAAATGTTGTTGTTTTGTTTTTGTTTTGTTTTTTTCCGGGACATTCTGCTCCTTGGAAACCAGTAACAGTTCAAAAATATTTTCCCATTTGTAAATAATCTTTCTCTGTAAGATGTCAATCTCCAGACTATTTTGATGTCCTCCTTTTTTGACACTGCGTTAACACACACACCCTGTATGCTCCCCCTACGCAAACTGGTCAAATACCGACTGCTGTAGAGGAGTTAACAAAACTTGATAACACATGTAACCTGTTTTCATTTTAAAGATCTGTTGAGTGCTGCTTTGAAAACAGAATGTTCTATTAATATAAGCCCATGATTCATAGGGAGACACATTGTGAGGCTCTCTGCAACAGACAACATTGACCTGAGAGCAGCATGAACAATAATAATAATAATAATAATAATAATAATAATAATAATAAATAAGTCCCATTAATTTGGAGTAAGCAACAATGGAACTTCTGATTTGGACTTTAATTAAAGCTCTATGTTTGTTGTTTTTTTTGTTTTGTTTTGTTTTTGGAAAAGGAGGCGTCAATCTGAATTCTGTAAAAGTTCAGATTACATAATTTACACATTGAGCAGTACATAGTAAGCCCAACAGAATAAACCTTCATAGAGGCAAATAAGGTGATGAACAAAGACATCTGGAATGACATACAACTGACATGTTTCACACATTCACACTGATGCTGATATTAACTTTGTTTGAGCCACATTGTGCTTAAGCAGTGTGGCTGAGTGGGAACTCGCCTGGCCCCTTCTTGTACACTTTGCTTCATTCAGAGGGCCTGGACTCTCAGCTATTGAGAAATGATAGCTTGCTGGAGGCATGGACTCTGTCAAAGTTTTGAATTTTACCCAATTGCTAACATTTGGCCGTTATGTTTTGAAGCTGGAAATAGCTTGCACTGTTAACAACCATCTCCCACTGTGCAGAGAGAAGAACTGAGCCGAACAAAATGACTGTTAATGTTAATTCAGTATTTCGAGCCAACACAGACTGAAGGATTTTGTTCTTTTGCTGCCATTGTTAAAATTACAGACAGACTACAATTCTGAAACAGCACAGAAAATAGACACCATCGTCCACAACTTCTCCTTCTGTCTGCTGATTGGCCCAGTTGAATTCTACCAGAGAAATCCAGGTCAATGGGAGAAAGCCTAGACAACGGAGTGAAGGGAGATGAGAATCAAGCAGAATTGTTTAGGAAGGGTAAGTGGGAAGAGTAGTTGTCTTGCAGTCCAAAAGTTATTGATTAGGCTCCAGTTTTCCTCCCTACATCGTCCTGTTGTGCCTCTGGGTTGCCTACCAATCGCTATATGAATGTGCTCTAGCACCAGTAGTAATTATGTAACTTTAATCCATTTAACTAGAATAGATTTTGAAGCTAACAATCAAAGTAACAGTGGTTTAAATCTTCGAAACCTTTCTCCAACAGGCCAGATTCTCCTACCTACACATGAAGTACCTGTTCTTCTCCTGGCTGGCTGTGTTCGTAGGAAGCTGGATCGTGTATGTGGAGTACTCATCCTATACAGAGCTCTGTCGAGGGCACGACTGCAAAACTTCCATCGTGAGTACTTTCATTCCCTTCATGCACCAATCCAACCGATCGAACTGATGTGTCTAATAAGATGTGCCTCTATTTGTATTTATCAGTGTGACAAATACAGGAAAGGAGTCATTGATGGCACCGCCTGCAGCAGCCTGTGTGAGAAGGAAACACTTTACCTGGAGAAGTGCTTCACTGCGAAACCTAACAGCCAGGTTGGAGGAGAATCAATGCTGTTCTCTGCTGTCTGCTTGTTATGTAACCAACTGCTCCTATAAGCACCATGTTGTTCTTTTCAGGTTTACTCAGGAAACTGGGGAGATTTACAAGGAGTCATCAAGTGCCAGATGGAGGAGGCACCCCATCATGATCTTGGAGGAGAGATGGAGCCTAGAAAGGAGGCTGCTCCCGTTGCTTTCAACAAACCCACCAAGGGAACCTCAGTGGAAAAGTTCAGAGAGATGATAATCAGCCATCTGAAGGTCAGGAAGGCTTTGTTCAACTCTAGATTCAAAGCCTCTGTATGTTCTAAAGCTTATTCCTTTCTCCCCAGGCAAAAGTCGGGGATCAAGCCAATCTTGCAGACCTGGCAACCCAGGTATTGTCCTTTACAGATTCCAATAAAGACGGCCATATCTCATTGCCAGAGGCTCGCTCCACGTGGGCCCTGCTGCAGCTCAATGAGTTCCTGCTGGCGCTCGTCCTGCAGGAACGGGATCACACACCCAGGCTGCTCGGCTTCTGTGGAGATCTGTACATGATGGAGAAAGTTCCGTACTCTCCCCTGTATGGTATCAGCCTGCCTTGGATCGTTGAGCTGTGGATTCCTGCAGGTCTGCGGCGCAGCATGGAGCAGTGGTTCACCCCCTCGTGGCCCCACAAGGCCAAGATCTCCATTGGCCTGCTAGAACTGGTCGAGGACATTTTCCATGGCACCTACGGAAGCTTCCTCATGTGTGATGTGAGGACTACCACCTTCGGCTACAACGAGCGGCATGACTTTAAGGTCGTGGACGCCAGATACATCATCCCTGAAGCCAACTTCCAGGAAAGAATTAGACAGCAGCGTTGCGACATCGACGAGGACTGTCTGTATGGGACCGACTGCCTCACTAGCTGCGACCTCACCAAACATCGCTGCACACCTGAGGTCACCAGGCCAAACTTGGCAAAAGTTTGTGACACCCTTAAGAATTACATCCTAAGAGGAGCGCCGTCTGACCTAAGCACTGAGCTTGAGAAACAGCTCTATGCTTGTATGGCACTGAAAGGTTCGGCAGAACAGATGGAGATTGAGCACTCCCTCATTCTGAACAATCTTAAGACTCTACTGTGGAAGAAAATCTCCCATACAAAAGACTCCTAATAAAGACGCCGTGGCGTTCTTGCTTCTTTAAAACGGACAATCAGTTTCTTAGTGGAAGCATTCCACTTATATTTAGTATTACCTATATTCGTATTTAAATTATAAAGCTGTCTGTTCAATCATTCCAATATCACCTCATGTACTATTTATTCTACAGAGTAAACATCGGACGGTTACCGGTACATCTCATTACAATATACTAGCTTAGAAAAGGTGATCTGTTTCAGTATTTCAGTTCAAATAGTTTGACTTATTCTACACTGTGGCGGCATCTCAGACTGGGAGCAGGAGTCCAGTTTAAGATGTTTGGGGCTTTTTGACGAAGGAAATGGGTCCACTGTGGTCATGAAAGGGTGGACACAGTCAGCAACAATACTCAGGTAGGTGATTAAACAATGGTCATATGGTCTCAAGAGGCACAAAGTATCCCAAGATGTAGATGGCAAACCATTACAAGCCTGAACCACTGATGCTTTATGTTGCCTACACCAAATGCTGACCCTAGCATATGAACAATGGAGCAAGAATCAGGACTCGTCAGACCAGGCAATGTCTTTCCACTCTGGTATTGTCTGATTGTGATAGATGTGGTTTTTTGGAAATGTTCTTCTGCAACAGCATCTATTCTGCTCCAGGGTCTAGTATGTTCCATGATCTGAAACAGTATTCTATACTCTTTGCTTATTAAAAGTGGTTATTTGAGCTGCTGTTGCCAGTTGATCACCTTGAGCTGGTCTATCCATTCATCGACATCTATGAGGTATTTCCATACACTGCTATTAGCTGTATAAGTTATCTTTTCTGGACCACTCTCTGTAAACTCGAGAGACGGTTGCATATTTCAATCCATGTTTTATCGTCTACATCAAGTTAAAGTTAAGCCTACCATCTTAAAATATTCAAACCAGGTACCAGCCTCTCTCTGTGCTACATTCAAACTAACCCTTTTCTGCAGCTCGGATGGAACATCTCGTCTTCACGTCTTGATGCCTAAATGTTTGGAGTTTCTGCTAAATGACTAGATTGGGGGTTTCCAACTCTCTTCCTTGAGATCTACAGTTCTACAGTTGTTAGATGCATCCATGCTCCAACTCAGCAGAATCAAATAATTGACCTCTTACCTCTTCAGCAAGCCATCAAGTTTGGCAAAGGCCCGATAAACTATTCATTTGATTCAGGTGAGTTGGAACAGGTTGGTACTACTACTGTACTAAAACTGGTACAACTGCAGATCTTGAGGAGTAGGGCTGGAGGGCCCTGGATTAGATGATTCTGCATTTCTGTTAATCATTTCAGCCAATGTACCCAATAAAGAGGCCGATGATTATCTTTAAAGCATTTGCTTTTTCATTTTGATGATTATGTTACAGCTAATTCAAATCCAAAATGTAGTTTCTCAGAATGCTAGATTCCAAAAACAACAACAAAACTTTATTACAGTGATATGGGCCTGAAGAAAAGTATGTTCATTTACACAATATTCACTTAGTATTTGGGCATAAATGTCTGCATCACTGCAACAATGTGGGATGGAGATGATCAGCCTGTTGTTCCACTGAGGTGTGCTTTGGCTTTATTAGTCTTCAGCTCATGTGGCATTTTATCTTCCTTGCACTCCATTGATTTTCTGTTGAGCCAGGCCAGTTTGTCAGTACTATGATAATGTGGCCATTAAAGCAGGTACTTTAGCAGTGTGGGCAGCTGCCAAGTCCATCTGGAAGATAAAATCAGCATCTCCATTACCTTTGTCAACATCACGAAGCATGAAGTGCTTTAAATTTTTCTGTTTTAAACCTTAAAAGCTAATGGACCATCACTAGCTGATGACATAGTACCTCAAATCGTCAGTGACTGTGAAAACTTTATACTTGTCTGATAGTTTGGATTGTGTGCCTTCACTCCCAAATGAAACACTACCTCATCTTAAAAGAGTTCTTTAAACCACTGGACCATTACTCATTTTCCCCATAGGCCAAGTTGTCACACGTCTCATCTGATTCATGTGTGGTGGCTGTCGTAGCTGGCCCTTCATACTTTGCAGGGGTGTCCTTGATCTTTGGACAGGTCTTCCTTTACAATCTTAAAGATGCAGTTATCCGTTGCTTTTGAACCTTTTTCCATCCACTCAACTTTATGAAAATACTTTGAAACAGCAGTCTGTACAGAAGTTGACAGTGATGCTCAACAGTCCCATTCAAGTTGTCCGTCAACATCATAGTTCTATAAAGTTGGTTTTTATTAGCTGTGAAATAATCGTTAACATAAAAGCTTGATATGTCTGTATTACCATGATACAAGCTTCACATTACTGAAATAACACCTCCATTGTGTAACAGCAGAAAGTTTGAAACCCTTAGTTTCAGCTCTATCTTAAGACAGATATGACAGACAGATATACATCATTTTCTCCCTTCAGTCATGAAATTTTGAGTTATGGCTTTGAAGCTAAAGGTATCACCAGATTCATCTCTAAGGTAAAGTTGATCAAACTTCACCAGAGCACCACCTAATGGCAGTTTGTGGTACTCCATAGGGTCAAGAATTTGAAATGATAAAAAAGGTCAACACCCTTTTAAGACTGCTAATATTTATATTTTTGTCCATTTAATTACTTCATGTCAAACTGGACATCATTTTCTGATGCACTTTGGAAACAGAAACAGTAATTGCTTCTTTTTAGCTTTGCATAAAATTAATTAAATCATCAGATTGAGATTTTTGGACAATTGGAATAACTAAAAGAATCCCATGTCTTCTGGGTAAAATTTTAACTGGAGAAAATAACCTTCATTTTCATTTGCAGGCCTTTTAAACACCAACACCAGAGCTGACAACTTTACCACACAAGTCCAGAAAAACTACTACTCATGCTTCTACATCAGAGCAGTGAATGAACTGAGGTGAATAAGAAAACAAAGCAGACAGGAAAACTGATGTCTTTTTCATATTTATTAGAACAAATTTCTGCGCTTGGAACGGAGCAGACCCATGCCTCAGTCTGCCTCCTCCTGTTCCTGAGCCCGGAGGAAGCTGGCCTTCTTCTGGGCGACGCGGTCCTTTCTCTGGGCCAGAGAAAGCTTGGCACGGTTCCACCTTTGACCCAAAGGAAAAAAAATTAATAATTGCTTCTGTTAGCATTAAAATTTTTAAGAAAATTGGTACAGACAGGCATCCAGGGTTTATAAAATGAATGTTTCCATTCATAGCAGTTAGGAGATTATAATTTTTAACAGCTTTGACACAAATCATTTCTCACCTCTTCTTCTTGACCTCCTTGGGAGGCTTCTTTTCATGAACAGGGTTTGCACGAATACCAGCATGAGCCTTTTTGTACATCTCCTCAATCTGAAACAAGCATAAACACAAAGTCAGATTCAACACTGAAACTCACAATTCCAGAAGACCCTTAGAACGTCCATTACAATGAAAATGTATTTGACGTTTCCAGCTCAGGTTATTCAGGGTATGGATGTCATCAACAACAAATGCAACAATGTTCCTAATGCTAAGAAAAAAAAGGTTTCTGATCAGAAACAATCAATGTTAGCTTTATTGGTTCTGACTGGTGATTTCACTGAAACAAATCTGATGTTTTTCCTCTATTTGTTTAAAGAGTCAGAAGGAGGTTCTAAAAGAATTCCCAACACTTACAAACAACCAACAGTAAATTTCTGATGTTCTTTTCTGAATTTAATAAAGACCAGATCAGTGTCTTTTCTATATTGGTGTATAAATTATAATAGTCCTACAACTCATTCATTTTCTCAGTTTTAAACAATATGAATCACTTCAGCATTTGTTTTAGGCCTTTACTTTACTGGATGATAAATTGTCACAGTAATTATTACATCAGACAACAACATTGATGTTGTTAAACAACTATGTATTGGTGAATTTAATAAACAAAATTAAATCCACAATAAAAAGTGAAATTCCCCAGAATTAGTTGACGTTGCCGATAAAGACAGGATACGAAGTAGCTTCTGTAGTGTCTTGGCTGCTGCAGCTCCCTTACTCCATATTTATTGTTATTTATTAACAATAAATAACTTGAAGCTTAGTGCAAACTTCAGGGCCCAGTAGTTTAATGGAAGTGGTTAAACCTGTTCTGTTCTCTAGTAAAACTAAAGTTGTGTTGAATCCACAGTCGTTAATATGTGAAAACAGTAAATGTTAACCTCAAGGTATTTAATTGTTACATTTTTATGCATCACTCACACCATGATTGCATACTTCTAGTTAACATGAAAAAACTGGAAGTCAGAAAAAAAACTAAACAAATAAATACAAGCTCGTTCTGTGAGCGTTACAAGCCGTGAAGTTTTGTCCCCTGATCAACAGACTGGGGGACAAAGTCACATCACCTCAGCTCTTCCATTTGATTTCTGCTTTGCAACAAATATCACTGTTGCAAATTTGGGACTTAGAAGCACCTTATTTCTTTTGATTCAGTTTTTATTATTTGCATCAGTAACACTTTTACACATGTACTGAATATATATATAGAAATTATATACACTAGTATTTTTTCTGTTTACCAAAAAAAAAGACGTTTCGTTGCCAAATTCACCATCATGTCTGTGCAATGACAAAGTCTAAGTCTGATCTGCATTTTAGAAAGTTTAAACTGAATTCTAACAGACATTTAGTCTTTAATACGACTCCTTTCCTGCATAAACGTCCCAGCTTTACAGAACAAAAAAAAACAAAAAAAAAAAACACCCAAAGCAAAGCAAAGGTTGACTGGGACAACTTGCCGATTCTGGGGTGACTCCGTTCTTGATGAAGCGGGAGAACTGCCTCTTGTACGCCTCCTCGTCCTCCTCCATCAGGTAGCTCATGTACTCAGACACGTTCAGGCCCATGATGTGCTTACGGTGAACCTCAGCGTTGAACTCCTTGCTCTCTGTGTCGTAACCAGGGAAACGCTTGGTGCTGGGGAAAGAAAGAAACATTTAAACTTCTGCAATTTAAGAAAACGTAATAAAATAAAAAAAAAAATCCTTTACATTTAGATATTCATAACTGATAATAACTAAACTCCGGTCTCCTAATGATGGAAAAGCAGTAGTGAAAACGAGGATTTGTGTTTTTCCAGACACACGTTGACAAGAGACACTTTTCTACTGAAGAAACAAAGAAGCATTTCATTTAAAGTGGCCTGGAGAGCTTTGTTCAGAAGCAGAAATGGGTCTAACGGAAATGTAAACTGCAGTATTATTATCGCACATGAACAAATCTACTTTTTTTTTTTTTTACAAGTCCAGTTAAAACCCCTCATCCGAGACAATCTGCAGACAGAAAAACTCAAAATATCTCCTTTTGTACGAGTGTGTTCACTGAGTTTTTTTGTCATTCATCTGGAATTTCATGAGCACATACTTTGAATGTAATCTGTAAAATCTGTATTTGTGAAATCAAAAACAAACGATGTTACAGATACATCAGTACTAAAACCACCTGAGAGGATCCAATAGAAAACTACTGCAAACAGGAGCAGGGAGCGCTTCAGACGACCCACATCTCTTAGTTCTGGCTCAAACATAAATATGGGTACCGCAACAAATGCTGATCAATAAGATTTTAGATCTGATTTTTATGTCATCAGGCTGGAAACTAAAGGCTTCATTAGGCCCTGAATGATTCATTTAATTGTCCCAGAAGCTATTGCAATCAACGATAATATCGTTGTTTGGATATAATTTCCAAGTTGTACAGTGGCATAATAACGCAAGAACATTCTCAAAGTTTAATAATCATTTCACACCGGAACTGGATGACATCACAAATATCCCAGATAAATACACAAGACAAAAAAAAATAAAAAATTTACAAAATTGCTAAACAAAATTGTCCTTCAAAATAAACAGGCTGAGACCAAAATGCCACACTGGAGACTTTTGTTGTCCCGTTTGGAAAAAAGAAACAAAAGAGGAAAGTGATAAGTCATAATATATATAACGTAAAATATATATTATTAAATTTGCTAAAATATTGTTAAAGTGCACCTAACCTATTGAATCTCTTTTTGCACGTTTTACTTCAAACTTCAGTGAAGTTTTCCTTTGGTGTTTTATTGGAGCTATCCAATCAGCAAACCACAGAGCACCGTTATGCTAGCGCCCAGCGTTACAGTGTCCAGGCAGCAGCTGGTCTGGACGCCGTCCAGGACGTACCTGTGTGGGATGGACAGGCCCCCGTCCACAGCCCCTTTCAGCGCGCCGAACACCTTGTTGCCCGTGGTGGTCCTGGCAAGCCCGGCGTCCAGGTAGCAGGTGAAAGCTCCCGGCTGCCCGTCGATGCTCTCCACGTTGAACTCGTCTCCGGTCACCTCC